CCTGGTCTAATTTTGGAGTTATTGCCCTTTGTTCATTTTTACACTTTGACTTTTACCCGGGACATAACTCTGATATCATCAGGAAAACTTTATAGATAGATAGATCTCATTGAATAGAAGTGCAGTGCAAAAAACATAACTCCGCTTTGCCTAATTTTGGAGTTTTTGCCCTTTGTTCATTTTTTTTATACTTTCCTGTGTCCAGAACCTTCTCGGGGAGCATCACCCGGTTAAACCGGTTCTTGTTGGATTTGGAGCAGTTCTTTAGAAAATTTAAGGGTTTCAGTATCAAAATACAAAAATTGAGCTACCAACCAATTAGAGCAAGATCATCAGACATTGAAGTTATGTCTGGATTATATTGGTAACAAGGGCTTATGACTTTAGTTTCCAGCAGAAAAGGGTTAGAGTTTGAGGAGAACAGAATGATGGTATAGTTTTAGTAAATTGTAAGGGTGTCCGTGATCGAGTGGTTAAGGTCGTTGACTTCAAACCACTTGCACTTGACCACTGTAGGTTAAAATTTTCCGGCAGCGACTTTGGATTCTTTCATGTGAGAAAGCTTTTCAGCTACCTTACAAAACCCAAGGTTCCACCCTGGTGCCCATTTGTGCCTGAAATACCACATAGAAGGGCACCCAAGGTCTTTCCTCACTAGAAAGCTGGAAATTCCCCTTTACTGTGCTAATGCGACGTTAAACCCAACAACAAAAATTTTTAATACAAAGAGCATTATGGAATATTATGCATAATCATATTCTTTGATTTATCACATAGGTACAGAATAGGACCATTTGAAGTAGAAAGTGCATTATTAGAACATCCAGCTGTACTGGAATCAGCTGTTGTCAGCAGTCCTGATTATAATAGAGGAGAGGTTGGTTCTGTTTTAATAGAAAATATTTTTCCACTTCCTATCTGAATAGAAAGTGAACCAGATTTGTAATCTAGGGGTCTTTGTTTGATCCTCAGATGAGGTGAAATTTCTGTTCAGCAGTTGATTTTGGACATTAATTCTAATATAATGCTCATTTGTCACTCACAGCTGACTCAGAAATCATGTGGGATTATTAATTGGTCACATCAGTAAAGAAATTGGTAATTACTGGTTAGTTATCCCGAGATATGATAAAAAAAATGTGTTAAGATCGGTGTAAAATCTTGATAAATAAATATAAGAAATTCTAAAATTTGGGTAAGGAATTTATTTTGGTAATTACTGGTTAGTTATCCCGAGATATGATAAAAAAAATGTGTTAAGATCGGTGTAAAATCTTGATAAATAAATATAAGAAATTCTAAAATTTGGGTAAGGAATTTATTTTAAGCCGCCATTTGACTTCCTTCTGAAGTGAGCCCAAAATTAAAATAGTTTCTTTAAACAGGAAAGAGCTAACTGTATCATTTTCTCTACACAAAGATGACAATATACATATATGTCATTGTATGTCATTGTATGCTTCTCATATACAAAAACTTATTTGAGCCGCGTCATGACAAAACCAACGTAATGCGTTTGTGACCAGCATGGATCCAGACCAATCTGCCTCTGCGCAGTCTGATCAGGATCCATGCTGTTCGCTATCAGTTTCTCTATTTGTAATAGAGTTTGTAAGCAAACAGCATGGATCCTGATCAGACTGCGCGGACGGGCAGGCTGGTCTGGATCCATGCTGGTCGCAAACCCATTATGTTGGTTTTGGCATGATGCAGCTCATTTCTATTTCCTTGAATTACAAAGTTTTAATGAGAGGAGACCTCAAACTTCATTATCTTGGTTGAGAGACAGACCTACCTCCCAACTGTACTGGTAGATGGACTGCCAAAATATGACCAAAACCAGGTGTTAAAATTGGGTTGGAAAAAAAAGGAAAACAGGAAAATACCTCCAATAAAGAACTGTAATCATAATTCATTTTATCTAAATGTTACAGGTTGTTAAAGCTTTTGTCACTCTAACTGAACCATTCAAGATGGCTGACAAAGAACAGCTTGCTAAAGAGTTGCAAGAACATGTGAAAAAAGTCACTGCTCCATACAAATATCCAAGAAAAGTAAGACTTTTTGTTGTATTTTATTTTGAGGGTATATTTTTGATTTTTTTAGTTTCATGAAACTTAATCCTCATATGGCTGAGAGGTTGCCTTAAAGGGTTGAGGCAACAGAATTGCAGCCACTGTTTATCCCTGCATGGTTGTAAGAGGTGACTAAATGGGGTCTATGCATCTATTAGCTCCAGCAGGTGTGGTGGTTTTGACCTCTGTTTTTGCTTTAAGTTTGAAACACCCAAGAGTAGCCAAAATCACCTTTCCTGTTTCGGCACCATATGATGTAAATTGTGTTGGTGCGCAGTAAAACTAAAAGAAACAAAGTATGAAACTTGAATTTGGGAAATATATAATATTTCGTTATTTAATTCATGTCAATCAAACAAAAAATCTGGCTGCCTGCAATTGACTTGGCAATTTTTACGCATGCACTTCTAGTTTTTGAAAAAAATTTCAATAAGTCTACTGTTTGACAAATCTTATTACTGTAAGTTGATAAGTTTTAACATTTTGACAGACAAATCCCTTATCACAACAATGAACAGGTCCATATTCAAAACAGGTCAAGTTCATTTTGCAAATTTAGTTATGTAAGGTTTAAAGGAGTTTTGTAAGTTGAAATGTATAATGATTTTAATCCATATTAACTTCTTTAACAGACGGAAAGTTTAAGGAATGCCAATGAGTTCCAAAAGCCTTAAAGCATATAATTTAAAAATTGTACATAGGTCAACTTGGCCCCTTACAATAAAATTTAAAAAAATGTGATTTTTGGCCTATTTTGAGTTAAAAGTGTTCAAATGCTTTTAATTTTTATGTCATTTTGCATAACAGATTTGATTTTTCTTGAAAAACAGAGTAAGTAATTGATCTGAAAATTAGCACACAAGTTTTTGGTATAGACCTACATCAAATAGTAATGATTCTTGAAAAAATATTTCCAGATCTGTCATGTAAAAAGGTCTTAGTTGAGTCCCTTTAATGTTTAGGATTGTTTTATTTTTTCAGTTTATCATAATTTCATTGATATTTATTGCCATTACAGATTGAGTTTGTGGATACATTGCCAAAAACAGTTAGTGGAAAGATAAGGCGTGTGGAGCTGCGTAATAAAGAATGGGGCAGAGATGAAGAATAACTTGTCTTACAGAAAATAATAAAAAGCCATTTTTGTGTCGCCTCTACGGAGTAGTGGCGACATATAGGGATCACTTCTCCGTCGTCTGTCTGTTTGTCTGTCTGTCCGTCTGTTTGTCCGTCCGTCCGTCCGTCACAAAACTTGTCCGGACTACTCCTCATAAACTACTGGTGCAATTTCATCCAAACTGGAATGATCAGTACCAAGTCTAGTTGTGCATATTGTCAGCATTTTCCGGTTCAATGATTTTTGTCAGAGTTATGGCCCTTTAATAATTTTTATTTTTAAAGTTTGTCTGGACTACTTTTCTTATACCACTAATGCAATTTCAATGAAACTTTACAGGATTGATCTGTAGCTCAAGTCCTTGCGCATATTGCACGGGTTTTCCGGTTGAATGATTTTTGGCCGAGTTATGGCCCTTTGATAAAAAGGTGTTTTTTACTGTGTGTTGCCAGATACGCAAAAGCTTGTCCGGACTACTCTTCATAAACTACTGGTGCAATTTTATCCAAACTTTACAGGAATGATCAGTACCAAGTCTAGTTGTGCACTGTCCGTCTGTCACAAAATTTGTCCCAACATGAAATTGGCCATCATGAGGCGACACATGTGATTACTGATGGCTCTTGTAATAGTGACTGTGTGACATAACTTGGTATAATTGCAAATGATTGTGATGTTAAGTCTTTAAATGATAAGAAAAAACAAATAACAACGCCATAACGTGTTGAGTGCAATTAACGCGTGTTTTGTTATTACCAGATGTTTGTGTGCCTTGATGTTAATGTTTAAGTCTTTAAAAGATTAAATAAAACATGGTTTTCTAAAATGGTGGCTTTGTAAAAAGTTACTATTATGTTGTTTATACAGTTTATATGTGAAATGAAATTTGAACAAAATTTGTTGTTACTATATTGCATTTTGACTTTTATTAGACTTAGTTTTTGCAAGCATTGATAAATTTTGTCTAGATTGACTTTTTAATGACTTTTTATAATTGTGTTGAAAATTTAAAATGTTGTTATTTATTCAGGAAAAACTAACATGTTACAAAAACTGCCTTACCCCTTGTTCTGCTGATGAGCCTTTGCCACCAGTGTCGATATATGCATAAAAAATCTTTATATTAATAGATCTATTTTTTTTTTTTATAAATAGATTTATTTTTGTACAACTTTTATTGGAGGTTGTAATACTTTTGAAATACATTCACATTTTCAAAAGTATTTTCAATTTATCAATATATATCAATAGATGTTTACTATGAAATCCGTAATTCAGAAAATTTGTCTGTAATTTTGTAACTCTTTTGTATCAAATCAGATGGTTTTTCTCACATTGTTGTTAATCATACAGTAAGCATACACATGTTAACATATTTTCATGTATAAAATTTTAATGTTTTTATATAAAATGAAAAAACCTATTGCTATATGGTTTTTGTTAGTTGATATTTTCATAATTAATAATGAATCCTGTATAAAACTATGGACGTCCTTGGTATTCTGTTTTTTTCCCAGTATTATGTGGCTCTTTTTCATTGTCATGTTGTCGACATTTGTTTTTATCCTTTACAGAGTTTTTACTAAAAAAATAAGTTAATAGTTCTTATTACAGATTTTCACTAGAAAATAGGTTAATTATTATTGTTTGATGTCCTTATAATTTGATGATTGATTAAAATTTCTTGAATGCACCCTATAATTCAACGGCCAAGCCGTTGTTTCTTTGTGCAAGAAACTTTACATTTATTGATCAGTACTAGTTGGTTCCAGGAACAGATTTGAGAGTGTGTCTATGAGCTTATAGCTTTCTACACTATCAAACTAAAATCAATTCTGTATAAATCTAAGAAATATATGTCTATTTGTGATTTAAAGGGTATAAAGCTATATCTAATGAAATATTTTTATAGAATTTATTAACAGTAAAATTTTACAACTTCCATAATGCTCAAAAGAGTTTTAGAATAGATTGTCCTTATTATAACAGAATATATTGACCTTGAACAAAATATTATGCTGCTATTTTAAGTTGGATTTTCACTGCTTAGCAGGGATTTTCACTGCTTAGCAGGGATTTTCACTGCTTAGCAGGGATTTTCACTGCTTAGCAGGGATTTTCTGATTGACTTCACTTTTAAAGAAAATATACTGACATATTTCATTCATATAAGCATTTTGGAAGTATTCTTTTTTCTAAATTCAAGTCATTATTTATATATATAGCTTTATACGCTATAATATTTTCCTTTCATGTAAACTTGGAAAGTTGTCATATCAATTTTAACAACAGTGAACAAGCGAAATTTTGACTGAAGTTCAATTATAACTTGGATTTATTTTTAAAAAAAACTAAATTTAAGAAGACAGATCATTGATTATTGATCCTAATGACTGGTTTTTGAATATGATCCTAATTTTTATCTGGAGTATTAATATTGAATTTGATCTTATTCTTGATCCTTACTCTACCTTTTATACTCAATATTGACTGGCATTTTAAGGCACATTATGCCTCAGAAATCCATATTTATTACATTCTTTAGAAATATCAAACATGTGTTTAATAATGTTTGAATATGGATTTAAAGTATGTGACATATTTAACAGCTGAAGAAAGTAGCACTGAATATGCAGTAATGTGTAGTAAAGGTAGAAAAATGTAAACAAATTAGTGTTTTGACTTCCACACAAAATACTTATTCACTATAATTATACCAATGGCCAATGAAACAAAAGAAGCAAAGATAGGTCATGTATTTGGCAAATGAGTATTTTTTGGAAACTGTAACAAGATACCAAAAATTTTAAGTTTTTGTAGAATAAAAATGATAGCATTTCTGAGAAATACTGTGCCTTTAAGTCCGTTTTGTAGTATTTTGGCATGTCCATCTATTGATATTGATATATTAAATAACTGTTATTTAACTTTTTTGTTCTGCAACTTTACACAGAATTATATAATTATATATATATATGCTAATGATATTAAATTATATTATATTGAAACTAGAATGATATTCATTTAAGAACTCATATTTGCACACATATTAATAATATTTAATTGCTGTTGTTGTTTCTACAAATATGTAGGAAATTTTTAAAGCATTTTTAGATACATTACGGTACTTTGAGATTTACCCTGACCTTCCTAATTTTATAAAATGGACTTGCCTTGCTTTGAATTTTGACCATCCCATTTGTAGTCTCAGGGATTTCAGTAATCAAAACACTTAAAGTAACATTGTCAGATGCACATATTTGTATGGCCCAGGTGGTTTACAATGTTTATCTGATGTAAAAAGTACTGAAACTGTAGAAATTGTGTGCATTTTTGTGAAATTATTTAAAAGGCATGAGATATTGAAATTTTCCAACTTGGGTTACATTGATTGTTTAGATATTTATCTAAAGATAGAAATGATGTAATACTTGAAGGACAGATATATATATTTAAAGCCCCTATTTATGAATATGTTTCCCATCTCCTCAATTTTGTTATTTTTTTAGCTGGAAGTGACCTTGACGGTAAGTTGTTTATGCATACACATCTATTTTAATTAAGTTGATCTAGCCAATAAAGGAATGTAAGGTAACTTGAAAAAATCTATGAGATTTACATTAAAACATGCAAGACTTTAGTTCCAAGATCAAGATCAAATTCACTGAGTAATCTCTTATGCTGTTCTAACTTTTGGTCAAGGTCATACATTGTTTGGATAAACTTTTGTACAAAGGTCATAACTTGAGGTCAAGGTCATATATGTTGGACATAAAATATTTTGCCAAGATCATAACTGAAAGTCAATGTAAAACCGATTTTGCATGTTTCTTTTGCCAAGGTAATAACTCAAGGCTAAGGTCAAACACTTTGGATGTGAACTCTTGTCAAGGTCATTACTCAAGGTCATTTTTCAAGGTCAAACATGGGAAACTCTTGCCAAAGTCATAATTTTGTTGGCAGTAACTAGCAGAGAATACAGTTGGTATCAATACTTGTAGTAATTATAACAATAGGTTGTGATTTTCAGAACATCAATTTTGTGTAACATTTCTAGGTAGTATATTTAATATAATAACATAAATAAATTTATACAGAGATAATCAGAGTTTGTTTGTTTTCATTTGATTAAAATATCATAGAATTATTTACTCTGTGACGTGTCTTACATGCATCTTGTTATTTACAGGATAAATACATTTAAACAAATTAGTCTTTGAAAAAGAATATTTGTCCACTTTTCAAAGAAAAATGGTGGTGGCATAGTCACGCCTTTGCTAACCATTTTGATTAAGTTTTCATTTATGTTCATTATTTCAATACTAACAAAGGTATAACGCTTAATCCTTACATGTGGATGCACCTTGATGAGTCCTGCCTGTCATACCATTTTTTAGGTCAATAGGCCAGAGGTCACTGTCACCTGAAATATGTAATAGGTTAATGTCCATTTCTCATAAACAACAAGATATTCACTTTAAACTTGTTATGCTTGTTCATTATTATTGGCATGTGATACAATATCACAGGGGCAGATACTCATAAAATAGTTTGCAAATATATGCCTTTTTTACTTTAGCTGAACTTTTTGTAACAATATTCACTTTAAACTTGGAATAATTGTTCACTATTAAATGGGACGCATTTCTAAATGGTGGATATTACTTATGGCCCTTCTATATTTTTGTTATTTTCTCAAAAAAAAGAAACATCAAAAAAAAAGAAACATCGTATACATGTATATTCAGCAAGTTTTTCAGAAGTACCCCCTCCCCATTGGCCAATTCTTTACGTTGCTTTCGTGGAGCGCGCTATTCCTCGGATAGCATTTGTTTACTTTTTTATCTTGCCTGACATGAAGTTCACGTGTGAGTTGCAAATATTTCGTATTTTACGTCGAAAGTTGTTCTTATTTCCCTTTAAATTATCACCTCTGATACCAAGGTACAAATGAAATAAATTTTGGCAGCAATGGGCCTTTAATAGAGCCTTTTCATAATTCCACTCCATGTAGAACTTTGGTATAGGTTTGAAAATATTTTTTGCGGAAATAGGAAGGCATGGAGACTTTGCATTAGCTCTCTACTATGATTTTTCTTTAAAAAGATGTGAAGCTTTGGTCAAATTGACCTACCCTGATGACTGATAATTTGAAAAAAAATCTCCATCATTGCTTTAATGATTACGGTGGGTGTTTCAACCAGAGGTTTATGAAATTTATCTCCATTATTACACTCACGTGCTCGATCTGGCAAAAAATGTATGACTTTGATGCTGAGATATTTCCAGTGTTTAGTTCTTGTCCAGTAATGTTGAAGTTGCCTTCATTCCAGAAGTTTATTGGATGAAGAAATAAATGTTTTACAAGTATACGGTTCCTTTCCATGGATCTTGATAGAAGGGAACTTGGCGATAGATTTATATATGTAAAATTTGAAGATATCTTAACTAAAAGGTGTACCCTTAGAACAAACCGAGCTTATAATAAAATACCCCCGCTAATTCAAACCAAAGAGAAATGTCTGAAATGTTCAAAAACAAGTAAAGCCGATGATGTGGATGTAATTAAGAATAAGCCATCAATTATTAAGAAGCATTAACTCTTTCAAAAAGAACGTGATATGCGTTCAATTCAAGATTTAGTATACTGCATTTTTGTAAATAAATATTACAATGAAATTAAACATAATTGGAAGTGTGCCAAACTGCTTTGAAAATGCAGCTTTATGGTCTAATGCTCCGCACAGCTTTGCTTTTTTCTTGGGAAATTTATTAGAGGTGATTATTTTCATCGCTTCTGAAGTCATACTCATAAAAACATTACGGGCGCTCAATTCATCCTTTTTTTTTCTGATTTAATTTGATTGGTATGGATAATGAAATATAATTAAATTTATCCGGCCTATAACTCTGACTGAAATTGACGTATTGATACGTTAGTGGTGCTTAGAACGTGGAAACAAAACATAATCTGCCGGTGATAGCTAATGATACAGCACCGAAGATCGGCTATTAATTTGCTGATTAGTTGTTAAATACCAGAATGATTTGATCTCGTTAATTAATTATGCGCTTTAATTTTGGACTTTGCCTTTAATTAGAAACTTGGAGTTGATAAAATAACAAAATTGTGTGACTTACAGCGGTCTTTTTTTACATACATATATAAAATTTTGATTATAAACGGATGAAGGCCTTTGGAATAAATCAATTTCTAAATCTTAAATGTAATTAAAGACATTTTCATGTGTAACTGTTGAGCTCTTCTTAAGCCGGTGCTGGGGTGGGGTATTAACATATACCTTTTCTGACCATGAACAGGTTCAAACAAGCCAGCATTTTTAATTTTTCCCGTCTTCGGAGGATTCCATTTTGACTATTTTACTGAGATGATAGAATTGTGGTACATGTAATAAGATTAAATTTTATATGTAAATTGGGCTTGATTACAGTTTAGTTGTTTTTCTTCATTTTTTTAAAGTTTAATGCAAATTTCAAACTTGACAGAAACGATTCTAAAATAAGCTAGTCTGAAATCGTATATTTTCTTCACAGTTACTTTTGTTATATTTGTTTTTTTTATATTCTGCAACGGTTTTTATCAATGTGTTTATAACAGAAAATTACCGTTGTCAACAAAACCAGTACCATTCTTAACAAATTTTGGTACGTTCAGCAAACAAACATATACTTTATGTTATTTTCAGAACAGAACTGTACGTTTAAGTAGTTAATAATGATCAAGAAATGACGAAGTTAAGTCTCTAATAATGCGATAAATGGCGATGATGTGATAAAACGAATTCCGAAAATTCGGCTTTTCTATTGGCTACTAACTCGCGTGACGAAGATTACTGCGCACATGCCAAATTGAATTTTTCAATCCGATAACACATTTATTTGAAATATAACGGAAATTGGTTTAACTATTCATTGTTTTAGTTTTGATAAAACGTGTTTGTAGATTTTTTAAGTATTTGGATTTGTTGACTTCACGATTTTCAAGATGACTATGCTTGGATCGAAAAGCCTGGAATTCGTTGAAGAAGTAATCGGCTGCCTGAGCGAGGTAAAAACACCAAAAACTTTTTTTCCGCCATCGGCAAATTCTTATGTAATAACAAAATACTATTCGTTCTAAAAATGCCTAAAAGATAAAAAAAATAATTTTAGAAAGGTGTCATTTTTTTATCTATTGCATCTGCAAACATTCAGATGTTTTTATTTGCTTTTTTTGTTTTTTTTGTTGTTTTTTTTGTTATTCTTAAATGCATAAATTTTATTAATATATAATATCTCATCTATGTAAAGTACACTTATATATTTCAACAATGCCATGCGCACATTTATTCTATATGAAAAATATAAAAGACAAATGAATCACAAGACACTACTTGTCATTTTCTAAAAATCTAGTCATTTTGTGATGAAATATAAATATTATCTATAGTACCTGTAATACCGACATTGCTAAACTATTCTTGGGAAAGAATAATTTGCTTAAAACGAAACAGATACAGCTAAAAAGTTAACCTTCCTCAATTTAATTAATCAAATGGGTTAATAAGTGCTACTTAAGTTTTACAAAATGCAAGTTTGATTTGCATGGTCCGATGTTTTATATCTAGCTGAATTACGATCTACCACAAAATAATATTATCCCATAACTTTAACAAAATATGTTTATGATTATTAATTAAATCTAATTGTTGAACGATGTAACGTAAAAAAATTTCTGTTACCTACATTTTCCTTTTCTATCGTTTATGTTTACAAAAGAAACGAATGTTTTGGGTTTTGGGATTTTTTCTGTTGTTTTTTTTTATTGATATTTTTGTTGTTTTGTTTTTATTTTTAAATATATTATTATACATACAATCATTCTCCGTTTGCCGGCATTTATAATTTTTTACACAGGGCCTTATATATTTTAATGATAATAGCATATGTCGCGAAAACAATATTGTTGTTGGTGATAATGGGGAATTATTATACAACTTTCAAAATGCAGTTTTTTCTATATTCTGAGAAAAACAACGATAGATATTATACAATCTTGAATCAAATCAATACATTTCTATAAAAAGGTCTAAAAACGTGTTCTAGCTAAAACACATTTGTACATCAATGTTTTCTATTTACTTTCAACATAAAGACCACCTTTCTTTAACGACTACTTTGTTAAAATTTAAGTGGTCTTTCCAAATACTTAATATTGCATTTATTTACAAAATGAAAGACGTGTTTTCCTCCTTTATATCTATAAAAAAAATCTGCAATGAAATGACGTTGCGTTTAACATTGGTGTCAATAAAATAGTAAATTCGAACTCGCGTGACAATCATGAAAGTATACGCTGTTTACAGATGTCAAAGATTCATTCTCCTGAATAACACAGTAGAATCGCGGTTTTTATTTAAAATATCTTTATTACCCTAACAGCTAAAACATTCTCTTTTGAGGAAACGAATACAGAAATCGTTTTAAAGCCCACTTGCGGCTTGGTAGAGCGAACTCCATTAAATATAAAGTGCAAAATTACCTTGTTAAAAAGTTCATGGAGGTCATTCGTCTATTTTATTCTCAAGCACGAACACTCTAAGTGTGTCCTGATTTTTTTTCTTGACATACAAAATAAATTGTTTTACTACGATCTCAAAAACCGCAATAAAAGTAGTCGCTTTTTCTTCCATCTCTTTTTCAAAGATAATATTCTCCTTATGCGAATGTTAACCATTAGGCTTCATTTAAGCAATACAATCATGTGTATGAACAATAAAACATTTTCAGGTGAAGCTTGGAGAAAGGTCTTAATTCGTAAGGCATTACATACACATTCCCCGTTGTATATATTTATAGTAGTCTATTTCTGTCAGTAAATAATTATGAATGAGAGATACATGTATAGATTTTTTTTTCAACTTTTTGCCAACTGTAATTTCGTTACGCAATAAACATGATACCTTAATACTGTTTATAACAAATCTCACGGGAAATCAAAATGACGCCTTGTTTACAGATTGCTACCTTACTTATAAAAAAAATATTTCAGATTTGGTGCTATTTCTTTAGATGAAAATCATCTCAAATGTCCCAAAATTCATAATTCTAACAACATCTGTTTTCCTTACTATAAAAATTCAAGATTTTACTTCAAAGGCATAAACAATTTATAATGTTCGTCGCCACGAGACAAAATGACTGTTACAAATTGTATATGAGAAATGTATGTAGTTACTGAATACAAAATAAATTAACAATAACATTTTTATATTGTAAAGAACCACAAATACATTGTATATCAATATATTTTTGTAAATAATAGAATGCTTTATACCGGTATATACAATATAAGTATATGAAAAACAATCAATTATTCGTTCGTAATACATTTGCGAAGTAGATACCAGTATACTTTGATGATCTTAACAATTCCATGCTTTTCATTGAAAATATGAATTTATTTAAAGTAAGCTAAGAGCAATAATATTTAGCAAATGTTCTTTCCTTAATTCCATATAAAAAGAAAACATATTTAGTTCTGATGCATATTGTGCCTTTCAATAAATATTAGAGACGGGAGAAAGTTTGGCGATTTTGTCCGATTTATCGAGTTCGTGAATATATATATAAAAATATTTGATATGATAAATAACATCATCTCAAACATAGCCTCGTTGCCTTTCAGTGTCATTTAATAATTTAAAAATACTGTTTAAAACATCTAGTTCCAGACAAAATATCTGACGTGCCGACCAACACCGGCTTCTTGAGACAAATTTTTTGACACATATAGCATTTGAGCCGTACCATGACAAAACCAACATAGTGTGTTTGCGACCACCATTGATCCAGACCAGCCTGTGCATCCGCGCAGATTGATCAGGATCCATGCTGTTCGCTTACAAACCATATTACAAGCAGAGAAACTGATAGGAACAGCATGGATCATGATCAGACTGCGCTGATGCGCAGGCTGGTCTGGATCCATGGTGGTCGCAAAGGCACTATGTTTGTTTTGTCATGGCGCGGCTCATTTTTTTTTCTAGACTAAAAATTTAAGACTAAGTAAGTTATGGTAAAAAGAAGATTTTTATGAATATTTTGTGCGCAGATTCATTAAGATGAAAATTAAAAGATTAATACATCAAATTTAATATATTTTTATGATTATATAATTTACGAAGACAAAATAAAGCAATGTAAGCCATAAATAAAACAAACGGAATTGTAAAGGCACATTTTCAACAGTGAAATCAACAATGGTAATCACTTGGTTAAGTTTATTAAAATTGTATTATATAATGTTACATTATCAACACAAATACAGTAAACATGATTTAAGCTTGGACAATGCTATAAAGTAATGCACATACTTATACAATAGGATTATGTCACAATTACAGTAAACGAAGGTAATCTGAAGCCCTTCCCTAAATCACTTCTTTGATTGACAAACAATTTTCGACATTATACATTTATCATATTGGAATTTTCAGTTAATTATCGATCAATTTCCGACAGTTGTTCACAATACACACAATCGATCAAAACAACCCCGATAATAGAACAGAACAGAACAAAATCTTTATTGTAGACTTGGGCTCTACGCTCCTCGTCTATATAAATACAATACATATAATACAAAAGTCAATCAATTACAGCATGAGTACAGAGAGAGATAAATAAATTTTCTGAATAACATTTAATGTGTAACAGAAACTTATGCAATTCGTGAGTACAAATCGCCACAGTAACTCTGGCAATTTCTGAATATAACGTATTTAATGTCGTTGTTTTTTTTTAACAAATGTCACTAGTGAAGGTTATACAAACATCAAATTATATCAGTTCGTTGGATCTGATTTTTAAAGCACAATTAAGATAACATGCTAATTTGTTTAAAACATCTATGTTTGTGACTGACATTAATTCAAGAAATTTAAACATGCTAGGTCGTTCATAATAATAATTGTCTATGTAACGTTTCCTAATCCATTTATACTTGGGACACATAATAACAAAATGGAACTCATCTTCAATATCAGAAGAATTACATATTTCACAACGTCTTTCAGTTCTTTCAATTCTGTTTTGTCCATACCTTCCTGTTTCGATGCGTAATTTGTGAGCAGATAATCTAAATTTTGTAATAAGTTGTCTAAATAATTTGTTTTTAACAGAACTCAGGTAACTCTCATATTTGAAGTCATGTTTAATATGCTTATATACAGTTAACACTCTGTTGTTCTCTAAGCTACTTTTCCATTCTTGAGTGAAACAGTCTAACAAACGCTGTTTAAATTGTATAATAAATGTGACTTCATTACAATTTAAAGGGTTTTCCCAAACATACCCATAACCAAACGTATATAACATTGATTTTACATTTGACAACCAATTAGTTTTATTCTTTTGTACGTTTTCCAGCATAATTGAATACACCGTTTTTAAAACACAATTACTAGTTTTTAACACTTTAAACCAAAATTTAAGCACTTTAATGTAGCGATTGATATACAGCGGGAATCGTCCTAATTCACCATATACACCAGCATTACTTGTGGATATCTTAACATTTAATACTCGTTTGCAGAACTTCAAGTGTATACGCTCCATCTCTTTACATTTGGTAAAACCCCACACCTCAGCTGAATAATTTAAAATCGAGGTTACAAACGAATCGAATAAACTACACATAGTTTTTGGGGAAAACTCGAACTCTTTCGTATTAACTAATAATGTATTCATTGCTTTAAGCGCTTTACCCACTAACATTTGGGAATTAAGATTGAATCCACCATTTGAACCAAATACGACACCTAGATAGTTAAAGTTCTCGACTGTTTCTAATGTAATTTCATCGTATGTCCATTTCTCATCATTATGTAATCTACCACTCTTTCGAAATACCATCACTTTGGATTTTTCCGTGTTTACTTTCAAACCCCATCGATTACAATATGTGTTTAAGTCATTTAAACTCAGTTGAAGATCCTCGATGTTATCCGATAATAGCACCATATCGTCTGCATATAGGAAAAGGATTAGTGTTATATCGCCATAATTAAGACCACTTCCTGGTCTAGATCCTAGGAATAATTCTAGGTAATAGACATGTATATATGAAATTCCAATAAAAGTATATATTTTTTGTAGATAAATATCCGTTTGGTTATATAATATTATTAAAGGAACATGCCCCAGAAATCCATTTTTTTTTAATTATTTAGAAATGTTTAACATTTGTTTATAATGTTTAAATAATTGATTAAGTGCATGTTAGAGATGTTTTAAAACTGAAAAATTAGCGCTTAACACGCAATTATGTCTCGTAAAAGTAGCAAAATGTTAACAAAGTAGTACTTAGACTTCCATACAAAGTACTATAATTTTACTATAGTTATATCATGGACTTCAATTGACATAATATAAATCCGTGGTTATACCAATTACAAACATGTAGAACTAAAGATGCAAAGATAATTTACGTTTACTGCAAATGAGTACGTTTTTGGCAATTGAAACAAGATACAAAAAATAAAAGCTTTTTTTAGAGTAATAAGAATGATAGTATTTCGGAGGCATAATGGCCCTTTAAAATTAAGTGATAACAAAAACGTTAAAACAAAATCGTGACCATTGATGATGATGATGATGATTGTGGTAGTGGTGGTGGTGATGATGATGATGGTGGTGATGATGATGATGATATGATGGTTAAGGTGATGATGATGATGTTGATGGCTGAGGTGATGATGATGTTGGTGATGATGATGATGATGGTGGTGGTGGTGGTAGTGATGATGATGTTGGTGATGATGGTGATGGTGGTGATGATGATGGTTGAGGTGATGCTGATGATGGTGGTGGTGATGGTGATGATGTAGGTGATGATAATGATGATACGATGGTTGAGGTGATGATGATGATGGTTGAGGTGATGATGATGCTGATGGTGATGGTGGTAGTGATGATGATGTTGGTTGTGATGATGGTGATGGTGGTGATGATGATGATGGTGATGATTATGTTGGTGGTGGTTGTGACGATTACGATGATGATGATGGTGATGATGATGATGATACTTTCTATATGTAAACATATGCACGGTCATTAATTGACTGTCAACTAAGGTCTGTGTCAATTAAGGTCCGTGACATATGTCATCTTCAGAGTTCCAAATGCTTTTTTTCCATGGTTTTAAGATCGGTGGTCCATGGAATAAAGATTACCGGTCGGTTGGTACACTGTGTATTAAAGATGATTTGTCACGAATACGTGTGAATCAGTCTCCTTGAATAGCAATATTTTACACAAATAATTCACATGCTAATATTCGTAATTCCTAAATCACGCAGTCAAGGCATTGCTATAATTACGCATAATTTGAAGTTTCGCGTTTTTGCAAACTTTGTGATATAATTATAATGCAGCTAGTTTAAATTATGCTAGAATCGCCTGGTTTTTCAAAAAGAAAAGAATCAGTACAGGTGTTTTGCCATCAGATTTTCTGTTTTCACAAATCATGCCAGAGATTGTCTTAAACACACACATTTTAATGTACATGTACACTTTTATATGAAGCTGTTCAATTATCAACTTTTATATTTATCGAAGAATATGGAGGGAATCAGACAAATAAAATGAAATTGCCGATTGCAAAGCAGCTTGAGTTACATACACTTTTCTTTCCATCAAAAAGGTTTACTATGATTAATTCGACAAATTACGTCATTTTTCGTCCATGTATTAGAAACATATACGTAGTTTAGTAATACATAACTTTTAAAGATCTGCGCACTGAAAAATAACATCGGAATGATACTTTTTCCCTTTTTTGCGCGTGCATTACCTCACGAATTTTCTTTATAATATTTGTAAAATTTCAGTCTGTCCTTTCTGGCTTAAACACAACTATTTCTTCAACCATGCAGACCATTTGCAATGAAACTACAATGGAAAAGGTTGAGGCGTATGTGAGACCATTATGGGAGGTTGACTTTGTAATGGCGCTGATTTACTGCTGTTTGGTCGGTGTTGCTCTCTCCGTCGGCACGGTCGGAAACATCCTTATTCTGATTGTAACAGCCGGAACCCGGACAATGAACAGAGTCGGGCGGGATTTTGTAATAAACCTAGCACTTGCTGACCTCTGCGTGGCGGCCGTAGCGGACCCGATGTGCATTCTAGGTCGGTATTCTCTAAGATTATTGTTACATTATAATTTTACCTTCTATTTAGTATCTTGCTTGTTATACATTTTTATATCAATTACAACAATACGGCATTTACGTGTATTTTATCTGATCTACGTAAAATGAGAAGTAAACCCAACACCATGTAGGCGAAATCTCTTACTAATTTAATCTTTTTGTTTTCTTTTGCCGTTTTTTTAAAGGCGTTATAAAAGGTGAAAAATGGTTTCAAAGCCGCTGGATTTTGTGTGAACTGGTTGCCAGCATGTGCCTTACAGCCTGCTTCTGCGCGTTCCTCAGCCTCACTCTGATGTCAGTCAATCGATACGTTTTCGTCTGCCAAAACAAGTGGTACCAAAAGATATTTCGACGACCAGTTTGTATCGCTTTGTGTATGATGTGCTGGATCTCGGCGTTTCTATTTGAGTTTCCGAATTTTATTGGCTGGGGAGGCCATTATTTCGACGAGAAAAACCAGCAGGTAGGCACACACAATTCTCGTCTGGGTAATATTTTCGACCTTTATCGAGTTCTGAATTACTGCTTATTATTTGTTTATTTGGATGAACTATATTAAAAAGACAATAAAACAAAATACGCTATGTCATTTTATAGAATATTGATGGATTTGCCAGTTATGGGGTGTAAAGCGAGAAACAGACCTAATTTGAACCACACCATTATCTATATGTATAATTATTTTTATACTCAGACGTAATTTGTTGACCATTTTTTATTATTCTTTATATGCAAGATACATGAAATTTTATTTCAGTATTAATGTACTTAATTATCTTAGGTATCAACGTGCTAAAAAGCTCTAGTTATTGTTCATCATTCCAAATAAAGCTCTTTTTTTTTTATCTCAGTCCCTTAGAACGGTATATATTAAAATTTTTCACGCAACTTTGAAGCAACGTACATAATGCAACGTCCAATAAATCGTCTTACCTACAAGATAGTAATATTAACGCATTTTTTTCATAATGAATATTTATCATTTTAAGTCCGAGTTCATTTTTTCAGGCTTGGTAAAAGCGAAGAACGATAGACTATAGGGACATTATCAGTTATATTGAAATACCAAGATTTGAATGAACTTTTTCTGCATTCTTACTGTGAAACAGCATACAATAACGGTTTATTTAATTAATCAACAAACAGATTGCCTTCCTTACTGTAAACTAAGACTGCTTGGTGTGAAACTTGTTTGTAACTTCATCTTCATGATATTTGGGTTACAACCCTCTTGCACTAAGCCCTCTATCTAGAATGAAGCTTTGGTTTGTATTGTCAGTAATAATGAGGTTGTTAGAGCATGTGAAAGATCTTTAGGGAACAAATGTGATATTTGTCGTATATTTTCAGTGTATTTGGGACAGGACTGCAAGTTTCTCGTACACGGTGTTTGTTTCGGCTGGGTTGATCGGAGGCCCTCTGTTACTTATGGGTCTCTGCTTTATCCTAGTATTCCGGAAAATTTGGTTGACAAAGAAAAACGTGTTCTCACTGGACCTGGAAGACCCCCTCAGGTATAAGAAGTTCATGATAAAATAACCGGCTTATCAAATATAAATGAGCCGCGCCATGACAAAACCAACATAGTGCGTTTTCGACCAGCACTTTGTTGGTTTTGTCGTGAAACAGCCCATATTCTTTAATTAGATCCGAGAATTCTTCCTAGATCATTCAACCAATAGATATGTGTTGAGCTTATTATATCAAGTATGATAATTATTGATGAATTGATAGGTCATCTCATTAAAAACGCCCTTTGAACTTTCACTTTATCTTTCTTTGTATAACATAACACGCGTTTGTAAGACGATTTTCTCTAGATAAAATTTTTATTTTTATATTATCTTAATCAACATTTTTTTAAAAGTTATTCTATTAGTTATAAATATTTTGACATTATATGGCCGTTTATAAACGGTTGTTTACGTTTATATACGGCCATATAGCCTGTCAAAAATCTTAATAACGAATTTATATATCAGAAAAAAGTGAAATACATTTTTTTTCGTGTAAGCTGTTTGTTTTCACCTTACTCTCGAATAATTAGCATGTTATTTGCCAGTTACTTCCCGGTATTTACCGGAAAAGTTATTTTTAATGTTATGGATTATTAAACACTAAACAGGATATACTCCGACCATGTGTCTTTTTGTTATCTTGTTAAGTTATCTTTGCTATCGTGGAATGACTCTTTAACTTTGTAATATAGGATGCGACGTGTGTGGCAAGAGGCACTACGGTCTTCACGTACGCTGGTAATCATCTTTGCGGCCTTCGTCATCTGCTGGACACCGTACGCTATCCTCACGGCACTGGATGTAAATGACACGTTCTCTACAGAAGTTCACTTGTTTGCTACCATGCTGGCCCATCTACATTCAAGCCTGAATTTCACTATCTACATGTTTACAAACAAGTAGGAATTATAAAATATGAATAGTTTGGACAATCGTGATTTTTTATTTCGTCCTAACCCACGATGCATGATGGTACGAGGAAAAGCGACGGAACGATGACACGATGATGAGAACACGCTGGTACGGTGGTGAAACCACGATGGTACGATGCCTAATCGCGATGTTACGATGGTGAAAACGCGCTGTTTACATTGCGTCTTCACCATCGTAACATTGCGTTTTTTACAACCGTACCATCGTGCATCGCGGGTAAGGACATAATAAAAAATTACGATTGTCCACCGTAGATTAGTGATACTTCTCCAAAAAATCACAGAATGATATAAGGCAGTGGTTAGCCGTTCGGGTCCGTATTTCAGGTCAAAAGTTCTAGCTGTACGTGATTCCCGTCTATATACGCTCCTTCAATAATATAAAGTAAATTACTCTAATTATAACATTGAAAGATTTTGCATGACAGTGACGGTAGACGTGGAGTATCAATGTATCAAGTTACGTAATTTATAAACCTCAAGTTACGTAATTTATATACCTAATATTACCAACGCATTCTTAGAAAATGATTTCTGAAAAATACGGGAAATACATAAGTGTACCGCATATCGTACAAGTATTTTTCAGGAGGGAGTTACGAGCTGTAAAAACCGGTTAGACTGTATTTTCTGGCTCCGGCGGACTGGTGGTTAAAGTTGCTGACTTTAATTCACTTGCATCTCAACATTATGTGTTTAATCCCGACAAAGATTTTAGATTCGTTCATGCGATGAAGCTATTCAATCAACCGACAGAAAGTCGGTGGTTCTATCAAGACTCCCATTTCGAGCCTGAAGTAATGCACTGTGGCTTCCTCCACCTGTTAAGGGTAAACCTCGCCAGGTGATATTTAAAATATTGACAAGACTTAAAACCGAACACACACAAAAAACAACAACAAAAAAACTGACGGTATTTTGACATTTTTATTCAACAGGAGGTTCCGACAATCCGTGTTCTCCCTATTCCGCTGCAGCCTCACCACATTTACCTACAGAAGTTCAACCGACCATGACAAGACCTTGGAAACAGCTTCTTCGAAGAGCGACAGGACTGTCAGTGAACTGCCAAGGAAATATTACATCAACGCAGCGCTTCAGCCCGAGAAATCCCTCAAAAACGGTTTCTCTGACATCGGGGTATTTCTTTACACATAGCACGTTTTTTTTTGTATTTTATTATTACAAATGTATTATTATTTCCATTATTGATATTATTATTATTATTTATTATTATTATTATTATTATTATTATTATTATTATTATTATTATAATCACTATCGTAATCGTTGTTGTTGTATTCATATCAAATCGTTCTTTTTTGTGTTTTCATCATCATCATCATCATCATCATCATCATCATCATCATCATCATCATCATCATCATCATCATCATCATCATCATCATCATCATCATTATTATTATTATTATTAATATCATCATCATCATCATCATCATCATCATCATCATCATCATCATCATTATTATTATTATTATTATTATCATCATCATTATCATCATCATCATCATCATCATCATCATCATCATCATCATCATTATTATTATTATTATTATTATTATTATTATTATTATTATTATTATTATTATTATTATTAAAGTTTTCATACCGACTCGTTCCTGCTGTAAAAATATAATATATCAACGAAATGGAAAAACACTTGGCAGGGTGAAATTAGTTACTGTCTGGAATTAACATATTACTATAAATTCTTATAAGGTTCTGCAAAAACGAAATATGTTGAACATTTGTTTACGCTGTTTTGACGTATGAATTTCTTTATTCTCTGTTAACAAGTAATTATTGATTCAGGAATAATACATTGTTTTATCAAAAGAAATTCCTCGTTTATCAATAATGATTTTACAACAGATATTTCTTCTTAATACAGATTTTTTAATAAAAAAAAAACCCGTTTATCATTAAGGATTAATAACAAATTATCAAATTTTTCCTCTTAAAACAGAATCAAAGAAGACAATTTGATGATAAATATAGGACAGTTAAAACTTTTCAGCGACTAATGAGGGTAACCATCAATTGCCTAGACCTTTTATACGAAAAATAATTCCACGAGTTAATTTTGTTTTCTGTACTATAATTGTGCATTTATAGAATGTATATACATGTAGTACAAGAACATTTTCCTACATTGTATAATTTTAATTGTTTCACTTGAACATTGCATAACCTTTCTTAGAACCACTCTCAGAGCCACTGTAATAGCCACTCTAACAACAACTCTAAGCACCACTCTAACAACCACTCTAAGCACCACTCTAACAACCACTCTAATAGCCTCTCTAATAGCAACTCTAAGCACCACTCTATCAACCACCCCAAGCACCACTCTAAGATTCTCTCTTATATCCAATCTTAGCACCACTCTAACAACCACTCGAAGAGCCTCTCTAATAGCCACTTGAAGCACCACTCTAACAGCTATTCTAAGCACAACTCTAACAACCACATAAACACCACTCTAACAACCACTCTAAGAGCCTCTCTAATAGCCACTCTAACAGCTTCTTTAAGCACCTCTCTAACAACTACTATTAAAGCCTCTCTAATAGCCACTCTAAGAACCACTCTAACAGCTACTCTAAGCACCACTCTAACAACCACTCCTAGCACCACTCTAACAACCACTCTAAGAGCCTCTTTAATAGCAACTCTAAGCACCACTCTAACAGCTACTCTAAGCAACACTCTAACAACCACTCTAAGCACCACTCTAACAACCACTCTAAGCACCACTCTAACAACCATTCTAAGAACCTCTCTAATAGCCACTCTAAGCACCACTCTAAGAGCCACTCTAAGCACCACTCTAACAACCACTCTTAAAGCCTATCTAATAGCCACTCTGTGCACCACTCTAACAGCTACTCTAAGCACAACTCTAACAACCACTCCTAGCACCACTCTAACAACCACTCTAAGAGCCTCTCTAATAGCCACTCTAAGCACCACTCTAACAGCTACTCTAAGCACCACTCTAAGAGCCACTCTAAGCACCACTCTAACAGCTTCTCTAAGAACCACTCCAACAACCACTCCAAGCACCACTCTAGGATAACACTAGAATTACACTGTTATGTGATGATACCTATATATCTATATTTGCAGTTTGTTGAGAAGGGGAATGAAGATGGCACGATATACAATGACATGATGAACGAGAAGAACGGTATTAACGGGACATATGGCGACGTCCAGAAATACTAGCATTCACCCTTTTATAAACAAAAAGTATGTATGTACTAATTGCTATGACTTGCGTGTATAACACCTAGCTGTTTAAAATACCAATTAATAATTTAGGTCTACATGGAATTTTTTTAAAACCATATCAGGTATTTTCATTTAGAATAAGCACTATTCAATATTTGTGCAATGTATTTTCCATAAATACCATGACTTCTCGATCTGATGTGTCATACCCAATTAGATACTTCATACCTTGACACACCAATAGTGTTTTTTCTTTAAATCCCATGATTTATTATATACTTATAAATGAAATGTTTGAAAAATATTGATGAAATACAATACGTTTCTTTCAATAAGTTTTTTTGTTCAGTTTCCGTATTTTCCCTCTAAAAATGTTTTTTTTTAACAGCAGTGAAAATATTTTCAGCATTTTCACTGGGGTCTTGCCGGAATACTTCTAGCTATTACACAAATTTTACGAGAAATTCAAATATTTCATTCATTCAAATATTTCTTCCACCACTTATGAAATATTTATTTTCATGCCACTCGATGAAAATATATCCTGTATTTAAAGAAAAAAGCTTGAATATCTTCTATATATGCATGAAATCCTAATAATTTGTATTTTGTACCTATGAATCTCGGTGTTTTTATACCTTGTAATCCTTATTATATTATATATACTTTTATACCAGGACAATTAACATATTTCGTGCTATGAAAATCAATCCATTAAAGGAACTCCACTGAGGTCCAAAAGTCTAAAAACTTAAAATTTGAATACCTTACATAGATCATTTTGGACGCTAAAACAGAAAGAACTGCAACAAATCATTGAGAAATATATTCAGGGTTACTTGAAACATTGTGTGTTTGTGTAAGTGTTATATTCTAAGCCCGATTTGAGTGAAAAGCGGTGCAATGCAATTTTTGTGTATTTTTTTAACAATTAGAATAATCATTCTGTAAAAAAAACGGATTGATCGAATGATCTGAAGTATTGCACACAAGTTATGGAATATTTGTCTCGAAAAGTTATCTCAGCACCATCATGTCATAGAAGTTCAGTGGTGTCCCTTTAAATTAATATGCATTTACATACCATGAATTACCAGTAAGTTACTCAAAATGTTGGAAACACAAAAATGTTCTGAATAATATAAAAGTAAAAGAATACTGGGGCATAATGAGCATTTATTTTGCTTAAAATGATGTGGATGTTTCTTGTTATTCTACAAGTGTGTTTGAACCAGAAAATGAACACAAATGAGGCGCGTCACGACAAAACCAACATAATGGGTTTGCGACCAGCATGGATCAAGACCAGTCTGATCAGGATCCATGCTGTTCGCTTACCAACTATATTACAAGTAGAGAAACTGATAGCGAAAAGCATGGATCCTGATCAGACTGCGCAGATACGCAGGCTGGTCTGGATTCATGCTGGTCGCAAACCCATTATGTTGGTTTTGTCATGACGCGGCTCAAACATAATTTATATTATATATAATTTCAGATGAGCAAGACAAAGACAGTGCAGTCTATATGAAATAAAGGGCTTGAAGAAAAATATTTTCTCAAATCATTCAATTTCAATTACAACATTTGTTCAAAAATTGTAATATTCATTCAACGCGGGAAAAAACATAAAAATTTGATATTCCAGTCGTAATTATCGTGTTTTAATGGATGTTTTACTTTACTCGTTGTTTACGTTATTTGATACTTCATTGTCTATCCATTATACCAGGCATGGGGTAAATGGACATGTACTCTTCATTTATGACTGGCGCATTGTTATAATTTTAATAATCATAAAGGCAAAACAACAGAACAGCTTTAATGAAATGATTGACTTTAACATATTTGTCGCCATGTGTCATCAAAAGTGTTACGTTTGTCTCTGTAAAAGTGAAAGATCGTCTTTTAAAGTAATTCTCGGTGCGATACAGATTTGAACGTATAATGTATTTTAATTTATTTTATTTATGTAAATGCGCATAATAAATATATAAAATTACATATTATGTATATTTGATATTTATTATGTGCATGTGATATTCTGGGGGGAAATTCTCGTGAGATATTCATACGCAATATTAGATTTTGCCCCAACCCCTACTTTGTACAGTTTGCTATATGTAGTAGAATCAGAAATTTTGTGCCAGAATTCAACGTTTCCTTTTGCGGCCCAGATGGTTTGTATTTTATTTTAAAGCCTTGGAAATATGTAGACACAAAATGAATAAATGATATAAGAAAACCCTGTATACTTCCGTCCAATTAATACATTCAGTTGTAGAAGTAATATTTTTCTTTTAAATGTTTGAGTTTTTCGATATTCTGGTCTTTGCTTTTGAACGATATCAAATAGATCTTTTAAATGTGCAGCGAGCGAACTACATGTACAATGTGCTGAAACAAAATATGTATTACATGAACAGTGGCCCAAAACAGTTATTTTTCAAGTAAAGCGACCGATCTACAATATATTTAGATAATAGTTAGTTTCATGTACATCGACCAATTAACAACGCATTCAAAAAGAGTTCATTTTTCATGTACAGTTAGAAATGTATTCAAATTGTAGTTAGTTTGCATGTACATCGACCGATCCTCTATGAATTCATGTACAGCGACTGATCTACTATAAATTCATGTACATGCAGATATCGATATTCTATTTAATGCATTAAATAATACACTCAGTTGTTAGTTTTCATGTACAGTGACTGATCTACTATAAATTCATGTACATGCAGATATCGATATTCTATTTAATGCATTAAATAATACACTCAGTTGTTAGTTTTCGTGTACAGCGACTGATCTACTATAAATTCATGTACATGCAGATATCGATATTCTATTTAATGCATTAAATAATACACTCAGTTGTTAGTTTTCATGTACAGTGACTGATCTACTATAAATTCATGTACATGCAGATATCGATATTCTATTTAATGCATTAAATAATACACTCAGTTGTTAGTTTTCATGTACAGTGACTGATCTACTATAAATTCATGTACATGCAGATATCGATATTCTATTTAATGCATTAAATAATACACTCAGTTGTTAGTTTTTTTTTTCGTGTACAGCGACTGATCTACTATAAATTCATGTACATGCAGATATCGATATTCTATTTAATGCATTAAATAATACACTCAGTCGTTAGTTTTCATGTACAGTGACTGATCTACTATAAATTCATGTACATGCAGATATCGATATTCTATTTAATGCATTAAATAATACACTCAGTTGTAAGTTTTCAAGTACAGCGACTGATCTACTATAAATTCATGTACAGCAATTGATCTACAATGTTTTCAGATAATTGTTAGTTTTCATGTACAGCGACCGATCTACAATGAATTCATGTACATGCAGATATCGATATTCTATTTAATGCATTCAATAATACAGTCAGTTGTTAGTTTTCGTGTACAGCGACTGATCTTCTATAAATTCATGTACAGCAATTGATCTACAATGTTTTCAGATAGTTGTTAGTTTTCATGTGCAAAGACCGATCTACAATGTATCTATACATACATGTAGTAGTTGTTTTTTTGTATAAAATATTACTGATTGATTTACAATGTATTCAAATAATACTTTTTTTTCAATGTTTTCAAAAAGTAGTGCAAACTTGACAGACCCTAATGAAAGTGCAAAAAAAAATTGAATAAGGATAAAATTATTCCCTCAGCATCATTTGTGCTTGAACCATATAATCTTGTTATGCTTGTTTGCGTTTTTGTATATACATTCATTGTAATTGTTGTGCATGCTAGTTGTAAGTGAAAAATTTTCTGTGCAGGGAAAATGTTCACAAAGAATATCCATGCTTAAGATTTCTTCATTATTTACCCTGTATATTTTTAGATTTTGACAGGTTATATGTACCGGTATAAACGTTTTTTATATGGCAAACAACTAACGTGTCCATAAAACCCGGGGTTGTATATTCGGTCATATAACCAGTTGAGAATTTATAATGCAGCACAATTGCTTTAATTGCCTTTTCCATTTGTACTCGTATCAGCCGTGTATATAGATAATCGCGATAATCCAATGTAATCCGGCGTTACATAAGGGAATTGTTATAAAGCTGTTTAAGTGATATCGGCTCATGAAAATAACCATTGATGTTGTGATGGTATAATAACATTTTCCTCGCAAATGCTTTATTTGGTGTATTCATTTGCTTTGATTGTTATAAAACGTGAGTCATTACAGGAGCTGTGTAAGTGATAGATCTAATATGAACATCAAAATTGTCCAATGAAAGTCGATTTTTATAAACGGGCAGTTTGAAATCAATAAGTCTCAATATTTCGACAGCAAGACAGACCCATTTTACAAACTGATATTACATAAATGAAGGGCGACCATCGTCTAAATAATAAAATGCCCCAGAGCGCACAAATTTTTTGGAGGCTAAAAATAAATAAATATTTTTAAAATTGATTATTCTTTTGAAATTTAAAAAAACAATATTAATTAAAAATATCAATTTTTTGATTGTATTTTATAAAAATTTTATTTTGTAGATAACTATAAAGGAAAATTCCAGTAAATTTTACACAAATATTTGAAAGGAAAAAGTTTTTTTGCTGAAAATTTTTTTTAAAAGTAAAAAAATTTTTATTGAAGTTTAAAAATTTTGAAAATTTTTATTAATAATTATGAAAAAGAAACAAAATAAGAAAATTTTTAAGATTAAGTAAAAAAAGTAGTTCTTGCAAATATTTATGCTTTTTTTTTTAACTAGAGTGAAAGTCAATATTTATTGAACAATTTTACCACCAATAAAGCGGGACATTTTTGACGTTCTTAATTATCAAAAAAACTCCTTATGGATATGTTATTGCCTGTAATCGGGTGACTTTTTTTCTCGAGGTGAAGCGTCCAGGAGGCCTTTGCTTGTGTCTATCTGGATGTGTCCTTAAGCATTCATCCAGCAATGTTATTTCTGATGCTTGATGTAAGGCATTAGGATTCCTTCTACTTTTAGAAGAAATAAAAATTGACAATGGTGTTTTGACGTCACAGCTTTGCATGTGCGTTGTCACCCCTAAGAGCGTCCATTGTACATATTTGTCCGGTAATGTGAAAAATGAAATTTGGAGCATAGTAAAATATGATTTTTGTACATTTTGTTATTGTATTGACTTTTTGAGAGACAAAAAAGTATTTTATATATTGTATACCGCTAAATCATCAAGATTTATTGTACATTTTACTGGCAATTTTACTATTTCAGTCGTGGTCGCGACAAACCAAAACATAATGGGTTGCGACAAGCATGGAACCAGACCGCCGGCACCGCGCAGTCTTGATCAGGATCCATGGCTGTTCGCTATCAGTTTATATAATTTGTATGAGTTTTGTTAGCGAACAGCAATGGATCCCTGATCAAATAGATGCGGTTGGGCAGGCTGGTCTGGATCCATGCTGGACGCAAACCCATTAATGTTTAGTTTTTGTCGTGACAATGTCATTTGTGTAATAATATTGTTTGAACCATTTTAAGTTGAAAGGAAAAAAATTTTGTTTGTTATTGATTTATATATAGTTTTATCCATCCTTTCACACGGCTTCTTCTTCATTGATGTATACTACAAAAATAAAAAACCCAAAATGATGAAATCCCAACCCCATATAATATGGTGGTGAAAGTGTGCCATGTTTAAAATTTTTTTCCCTTTTGGGGCGAAAGAAACACACCCAAAAAAGAAAACCAACAAAATGGGCCACTTTTTTGTCTACCAATTTGCCGTTTGGACATTTAGGCGATACTTTTTTTGGGATTTTCACTTTTTTGTTTGCCTCCCCAAAAGGGGAAAAGGGTTTATAAAAAAAGTAGTCAAATTTTAATAATTTCATTTTTTTTCCTGGCGCCTACGGAAAACGGAAAACACAAAAAAAAGGTTTTTGTTTTACTTTTGTGATTTTTTTGTCTGGTTTTCACCCGCGGGGCGAAATGGGGATATGAAAAAAGGGGAGGGGTTTTCCCATGAAAAAATTGGACAAATTTTCAGACAACCCAAATTTCATTAAGCTCAGAATGTTTAGAGACAAAAGATAACAGAGATAAGCAGCTCCTATATACTCCATTGAAATATCACTCATGCCTATAAAAAAGTGGAAAGTTAGGCATTTTGTAGCAAATAAAACTTAATGGATGTACATTTGATCCTTTAATATTATATACCATTTGAAAGGTAAATCTTTCTTCTATGGCTGCATGTTAAAATATTGGTAACTTTCCATGCCTTTCACTTAGAAAAACATGGCAGAACATACCCACTGAGCCAGTTTTTTGTCATATGAACAGTTTTGTAACAAAAAATATTAAGTAGTTCTCTTTAAAAAATGATACAACATTTATTTAAATGGGAACTGTAAATATTTTTACCTGCAGCCATAGACAAATGCATAAGCTTTCAGAAAATGTATTATTTTACTGATTTTGATATCGGGTTAATAAGCTTTACTTGCTACAAGTTTTAAGTTTAGTAGGCACGCGTGATATTTTAACTGGCTAGGAAGTAGCCTATCTCTGTTATCTATGTCTCTGGACATGTTAATCAGTTAATACAAAATGTATCTTAAAATATTTTCTTTGGCTTACATTGGTATCTAGATTTTAATGCCAGGTGTCTTGCATTTTCTTTCGATCATTGATTGAACCTCATAATGGTGTTGAAAATAGCTCTTTTGATTTTCTCTCATTAACAAACTGATCAAACCAGGTACGTATATTAACATACGTACCTGATCAAACCGAACCTTCAATGCATAAAGATTGCTAAAATAAAAATTCAATTCTAGGAAAAATAAAACAAAATAATAATTAAGCCAGTGCTAAGGGACCTAGAAGTAAGATGGTGTACCTTTTCCTTTATGAACAGATTTTATCAAACCAAGTCTTCATTTTCACCTATTTATTTCCATTCCTCTCGAAGTTTCTTGGCGTCATTAATGCCGTTTTATTACCCATTAATGCCTTATCTATTAGGAAGATTTAAGCTCGGAATTAATTTATCAGCGGTAACACACTGCATGGTATTTAACGGATTACAGTTGTATTTAAAGACTTGAAATGATAATATAGAATTGAAACATTTTGAAATATTAAACTGGGTGCAAAAGCATTGTTGTTTGTACCGTTTTCCAGGAATATTACAGAAGAATTAAGTACAATTATGTGATATAACCAGGAAATAATTAATATTGGTTTAAGGAACTGCACCAGGTACAAAAGATTCTGATGAAATACCTGCTCGCGATACCAAAACCATGAGCTATGTTCAAGCATAATGATGTTTTCGTAAGCCCAGAATAACAGATTTACATTACATAATTTTGTTATTCCAAACACATACTGGTAATAAACCCTTATCACCCTAAATATCATATGTTGACTAGTCCATCTTGCATTTTGAACAAAACCATTAATCATTTTAGGGAAGTTTCAAAATATATGCCGACTGAATAGCGAACAGTGCAGATCATGATCAGACAACACGGGTATGCCTGCACTGGTGGTATTGGAAGTATTCACTTGCTGTTAGCAGCTTAAATATTAAGTTATCTTAACTGGAACCCTCATACAAGTGGCATATTATGTGACACAGGAATTATATTCCTAGGAGCAATGTTCATAATTTTCCTTTCTTAAATTTTATGTCCAGAAATTCAAATGAAAATTACAATGTTCAACAAAGTAAATTTAACTTGTTTTTATATCAAACTTTTACTGTTTTACCAATGCTATGGCATTGAAATATAAGCAGCTAGCAGATCAGCTAAATCCCAAAATATTTACTCTCAATCACTTGAATGATAGCCTTAGGTCTGATTGCTTGCAGTGACTACAAATCCCAGGCCATGGGACGAGTGCAAACCAAGCAAGATAAGCTGGCAGTCATCCGTGCATTTGATCTTGGTCTGCACTGTTCAGTATTTCAGTCACTAATTATTTTGAAATTTTCCCCATAAAGTGATGAACAATTATGTCGAGAATGTAAGTCAAATCCATTAAGATTTTTTAGCATGCTAGGGTGCTATGGTGCTAAGGACTAAAGAACCATCCGTTCATTTCAAAGGAAGAATAACAATTCTGTCAACGTTTGCAATTTATTAAGTATGCAAGTACATGTAAACTAAATGGACAATGGAAGGATTACTTTAAATTATAAAACAAAAACATGATGAGTGTTTTTAAATATGTGACATTTTAAGTTTCTGATATAATATTCAATGATAGGCCATTTCAAAAATTACCATTTTATACTTAAAAAGTAAAATAAACAATAATATATATATTATAATAAATGTGGCAAAAATAGACATAGAAATAGATCTGTACTCCAACCCATTAATGTAACGATCAATAAAGTAATATCAAAGGTACTATTTTAAGAAATACAAAAATGTGGTATTTTTTTTTTAATTTTCAACTTTAATTAAATAATAATGGTACCACTGCAGAATTTCTTAAGGAAAAAGCATAAAAATTACATTTATCTATGCTATGATATGCTCTTTTACCTGTCAATATTCAAAATTTGATATTTTGTTGTCAAATTTAAAGAGTTTTACAAAAATTCCTGTTTAATTCTAAATTTTAAACATATTAACTTGATGAAATGTAGCTCAAACTGTTACTTTAAAAACACTTGGTGAATGTGCATTAAGTGCAAATCTCTGCAGTATTTCCTTTCAATAAAGAAACATAAAATTTGAGATGTTTAATTGAAAAATAAAGTAAGGACTTTTAGCATTAATAACTACATTTTACCAACAGGGCTTAGTTTACCATCACATTTTACTATAGCTTAGGCTTACTGTCCCTTGGGAAGTTAAAATTTTATACATAAAAATTTCATACCATAGGATTGCAAAGAGTTTAAAGATAAGATATATAATAGACCATAAATCTAGAATCTAAAACTGGCCAAAACTTTGTATATAAAAACAATTGGTTCAGGCAGTTTGGTTTTTTTTAAGTAAAATTCTTGGGAACATAATCCAAGATGCCAGTAGTCTGTCGCTCCATGCATTACATTCATTGAAAACTTTAAACACACTGAAAACTTAAGAGAGTGCACGCATTGCACCTTTTTTCTAAAATCTCTACAAATCTAAGTGTTAGTAGGGGTCAAAATAATGTAGTTAGTCTCAAGTGTAATCAGTCCAAGGCCAATGCTAACTTTGATCAATAAATTCAATCACTTAAAGGCTTAAGTTGATTTTTCATAAGGTCTAAAGAGAAATAAGTTCAATACTTAGTTTATTTTTAACCATTATGTCTAACATGGCTAACTTAAGTTTAATAATGCCTCTAGAGTAATACATCTGAGACTGGATTGAATTTTGAAAAAAAGTTTCAAGTGCAGTAAGTCCAACTTTAAATTCAGACTGACATTTAATAGAATTATCATATGAAGTTAAACACTAAATCTTACAGTAATATATAATGAATAAATAGTTATAAAAGCAGCTCAAATAATTATTATCTATGAAACAAATAAAAATTCTCTTTATACATTCTGAAAATTTTTCAAATAGTTTCATGCTAAAAATATCACCAGGTTATTTAATCTATTAGCAGTGTGAAAAAACACTGCATTTTTAATTTTTTTTTTAAATTTCTTTCAGGCCCTTTCTATTATTAGAAACTTGACACTTGGAACTTACTACAGTATAGAGACAAGTTATATACAATGTAGAAATCTTATCATAATTTTACATGAAAAATATAATGTACTATCACAGACAATAAAAGAAAACAACCGCCATTTTAGCACAACTATAATATCTCATATATGAGGCCACTCATCTTATCCATTTCAGTCAACAGTATCAATATCCAAGAATGTATCATTTCCTGTATTCCCTTTCTTGAAATCCTGAATTTCTTCAGTCATAGTTATAAACCTTTGCTCAAACTCGCACTGTGCACTTTGAACCTTGAAGCTTGATTCAAGCCATGTTTTCTATATACCAATCTTAAATTCACATTTATCTGAAAACACCATTTCTTCTGTTGTATACAATGTAGTCTGCATTTTCATCATTGTACTCAGAAGCTTGTTTCACTGATAAAATCCATCTCCAAGATCCAGATAGTGTGTCAGTATCACATGAAAGCTTGGAATTCTGAATTCACTAAAAACCACCACTGTACCATTCATGTTCACATGTCTACAGTATAAAATGACACTGTTTGGCAATTTGGCACATACTGTCATGTTTGTCAGTAAATAAAAATATTAAGAAGTTTTTGTTTTGTCCAACAGCATTCACAGAATGTCCATTTTGAATATATATCTTTTTATTAAAAAAAAAGAAAAAAATGTACCGGTATATGTATAAGTTATAGATTATTGTTAAATGATGAAGTGTTCATGATCGTACTAAGGAACTCATTTGCCGACCTCTGCGATAATATGGGTTATTATGACTAGGTGTCGAAGGAGCTGAAATAGAAAAAGAAAAATATTTAGCATTACTACATTGTTTGCGATCTATTAAAGAAGACAGGAATGAATATATCTTTATGGGAATGAATATTTTTTACGGGAATGAATATGTTTTTACTTCAGAAACAAAATACATGTACAGTTTAACCTCTTCTAAGCAACACCCTTTGGAATAAGACCCAAGATTTTGGTTGGTTTGGTTTTTGTTTTTTTTTGGTTTTTACGTCACATCGACACAGTATAGGTTATATCGCAACGTTCCAGCTTTACTGGTGGTGGAAGACCTCAGGTGCCCCTCCGTGCATTATTTCAGGCACAAAAGGGTACCTGAGTAGAACCACCGACGTTCCGTAAGCTAGCTGGATAGCTTCCTCACATGAAAGAATCCAAAGTCCCTGTTGGGATTCGAACCCACAGAGGTGAGGGGCAAATGGTTTGAAGTCAATGACCTTAACCACTCCGCCACAGACACCCCTTAGATTTTGGTTGTTACAGAGAGGTGTTGCTCTAAAGAAATCAAAATTATTGTAAAGTTGTAAATGAAATTAAATGACATTACATGAGAGCCTCAAATTATATGCACTTCCTGTCCTTATTGTTTACTCCATAGTCAAAAAATGTGTACAAAAAGTTAAAACGAAATATGTAATAAAATGTTTTAATATACATGTACCTAAAAAGTAATGTCATGTGATGAAATTATATAATTTAAATTCAATTCAGATAATACAAAAAACATGCTGCAATCTATAAATTCTAGGTCAAACTTTTGGGTCAAGCTTTTTCTGGTTGTCCTGAAATCAATGGTTAACATGTTAAAAGGAAGGACTGATGTTAAATGTGAAGATTGGGAGTGAATGTAGAAAAACAAAACAGAGTGCATTTTGATAATGAGTTAACATAAAGCAAACAAGATAATATGTATTATATATGAGGGAGTATGAGGGAGAACTCAAAATGTGAAAAAAGGAAATTATTATGTAAGGCGTCAAAATGATATTATGATGGGGGTAAAATGAAAATAATAACTTTCAATCTTCAAGTTTCATTTCAGCATGATTTCTAACAATAAAAACCTATGACTTGTTATTATTTTTTCATATCATTATATATTCAATTATTTCTAATAAAGAAAAGGAGAAAAAACAACTTCTTTGTTTTAACACTTTTTATGTGATAGAAATGGTAAAACAAAAGAAATGAAAAACATGGAGAGAAATAAAAACTTGCCATGTATGTGGGTATGAAGCTGAGATAAGCAAAAAATATCCAGACTAAATAATGATTTGATATTATATGGAAAATATGTAATTACAAAAACTTTGGTTAGTTATTAACATTTGAGAAGCATGTCTACGTAAATTTATGCTCAAAAACCAACTATTATTTAACAGAACATTCTTTAATTCCATTATAGACTTAGAACCCTGTAATTGTAATGCAATTCTAGAGAATCTTTGTCTGTTAACGCAAATTCTGTACAAGAGCTATCAAAAGACATGGGGCTCTACTCTGTTCATTTTTCAGCTCCACTTTTCGAAGAAAATACATGACCCTCTTGTTGGTGTTGGCATTGGTTAACATTTTTGTTTAAATAAGGTCTATTTTTACATTAACTTCCTATATAAGGTATCTGCTTCAGACTTGGTATATATGTTTATAGTCATAAAAGGATGCCATTTCAAAAAGGCGGATTAACTTAAAATCATTTTTAAATTTTTGCAAAATTATGCCCCTTTTTATTTCCTGCTTTTATAAAACTATCCTTTGTAATATAAACAATATAAATCATGCTTCAGTCATGTAAAAACTTTCATATCAATATCTTTAATAGCAATGCCAGGTTTGACCCAGAATTTTTATTTCTGACTACAAAAAAAGGGATATTTTTCAATGAAAATCCATAACAGAGTTATGGATCTTGGACAATAACCTACAATTATTACCCTCAAGACATGTGTGAGGATTAAAATGAATCATTTTAGTTGTTAATGAAATATGAAGATTAACATGCCAAATCCATAACTAAGTGTAAAGCCAATACTGAAGTATATTTACATGAAACAGGCTAACGCCAATATTCTTTTTATCGATGAGCAAAAAATATACTGTATCCATGCTTCTCCATACAAAATGCAACTTGGGATTTTTGTTTTCAAGCTTGGTTTACAAAGAAAGGGTGGGGGAAATCACACATAAAAACCATTTACCGCTGTTTGTAATACAAGAACTGTGGAGCGCTTGTATATCGAATTGGTGTTATTATATAACCTTTATCTGAAGACAAAACTACTGTGTTTACAATGAAAGTTTTTATAATGGTATACACTAGTAACATATACTACAGAATAAATAATAATAATCACATAAAAATTAAAAAAAAAAAAAAGGAAAGAAAAGAAAACAGAAAATAAATGGAACAGTTTCCTTCTCTGCAACTCCAATCTGAGACATTTCTGAATAAAAGAGAGGCCAAATAAAGGCCCTTTTTGTAATAATAAAATCATTGAAAATTCTGTGTCTAAAATAAATCCCAAAATTTGTGATTATTCTCTTTTTTTAGGGCATATAATTATCATCACATTAGTGCAATATCTGTTTAAGTCCTTCTAAATTTTATAGGAGTAAACCAGTTATTGCACTAAGGAGATGAATTATGGCTTTTTATGAAACAGACTATTGATAAACACATGTAAATGTCATATTATCTGAAAAAAAGTTAATATTTTAACCCCTATCCTGCTGGAACAGGAAGTCACAGTTCAGCCTTTACCACCAATATAGAATCAAGCCAGCCTATATAACCATGCCAAGTCTGACCAGGCTCTATATTGTTTGGCTGACTAACTTAAATTTTCCATCTTGATATCCCAAAAATTGAAAATGAACAGTTCCAAAACTAGGAAATGGACAAGTTATTAAAGTAAACCAGCAAGTTAAGGGTTAAATTTTCCTAACTTTAGTATGGCTATCATTCTAAATTTTCCCAAGGTCGAGGCACTACTACAAACAAGAGGGCCATGATGGCCCTGAGGTCGCGCTCACCTGTATATAGGCCCCCCACCCCCCCCCCCCCCCAAACGTTGCAGGGCCAATTTAACCAAAGGGCTTTTATTTGCACAAACTTGGTAGACACCCATAAGAATATGTTTCATGCTTAACATCTAAGCTCTAGCTCATTGGGCTATTTAAAAGAAGATTTTTTTTAAGTTTTCACTATACACATATAGTTAAAAACAATGACACCCCTGGGGCCGGGCCAGTTATGACCCCAGGGTTTTTATTTGAACAAACTTTGTAGACACTTACAAGAATATGTCTCATGCTTAATATCTAAACTCTAGCTATTTGGGTTTTTTCAAAGAAGATTTTAAGTTTTTGCTATACACATATAAGGAAAATCAATGACCCCGGGGCGGGGCCAATTTTGACCCCAGGTCTTTCATTTGAACAAACTTTGTAGACACTCACTAAAAGATGTTTCATGCTTAATATCTTAACTCTAGCTATTTGGGTTTTTTTAAAAAAGATTTTTTAAGTTTTTGCTATACACATATAAGGAAAATCAATGACCCCCGGGGCGGGGCCAATTTTGACCCCAGGGCTTTTATTTGAACAAACTTGGTAGACACCTATTAGAACATGTTTGATGCTAAATATCTTAACCATAGCTCTTTGAGTTCTTTAAAAGAAGATTTTTTAAGTTTTTACTATATGCATATATAGGGAAAATCAATGACCCCCCGAGGCAGGGTCAATTTTGACCCAAGGGCTTTTATTTGAACATACTTGGTAGACACTTATAAGAACATGTTTAATGCTAAATATCTTAGCTCTAACTCTTTTGGTTCTTTAAAAGAAGATTTTTTAAGTTTTTACTATATGCATATAGGGAAAATCAATGACCCCCTGGGGCGGGGCCAATTTTGACCCCAGGGCTTTTCTTTGAACAAACTTGGTAGACACCTATTAGAACATGTTTGATGCTCAATATCTTAGCCATAGCTCTTTGAGTTCTTTAAAAGAAGATTTTTTAAGTTTTTACTATATGCATATAGGGAAAATCAATGACCCCCCGGGGCGGGCCAATTTTGACCCCAGGGCTTTTATTTGAACAAACTTGGTAGACACTCACTAGAAGATGTTTCATGCCAAATATCTAAGCTCTAGCTCTTATGGTTTTTTTAAAGAAGATATTTAAAGTTTTTTCTTTCGGTTGCCATGGCAACCAGAGTTCTGCATGGAATTAAATTCTTTGAACAATTTTTAAAGGTGACCACCAAAGGAACATTCCTGTGAAGTTTGGATGAAATTGGCCTTGTGGTTTATGAGGAGATGTCATTTAAAGTAAAAGTTTACGGACGACGGACGACGGACGGACGACGGACGCCGGACGAAAAGCGATCACAAAAGCTCACCCTGTCACTTTGTGACAGGTGAGCTAAAAACTGCAGCTAAACTTAATTCCCTAAGGTAAACCAGGTTAATTTGTTCAGTAGATACAAGTTTTGCTCAGAATTAATTTTGTAACTTTCAAATGTGAATTTTATTGAATTTTACCAATGAGATACTGAAAAATTCTTGTAATAGTTAGAAGACAAAATAATTATTAAATAAGGCTTAGCATAGGAGTGTTGGCTAAACAGAGATTCAAATACTGTGGGAATCCAGTACATATTGAATACTCTCATCATCTATAATCTGTTCATTTTTAATGACACAGATGTATCAGACAACCTTTTTTTTAAGAATTGATTTTGGTTCAGAAATAGAGCTATTTAGTTCAATTAAGTTCATTTATGTAACTTTTATATGTCTCTGAACAGCTTTCAAAAGCTGAGGTGTAAGAAAAATGACCTTTCGATGTTTATCCATTCACAGCACTACTAATCAAGAAGAACATTTTAAAAAGCCTGTTACTTTTCAATTTTCTCTATATATACTGAGTAAAAACTATGCAATCTTATCTATTTTTAGAACATTTGCAGGAAATGACAGCTTTCGTAACATAGAAAGGATACAATAAAGACTAGCCTTGGTTCCTACCATTAATATCTCTCCTTTTATATTCATTATTTCATTCAATTAACCTGCTCCCTGCCGGAGTTATACTTAAGCAATTACAGTAAATATGCCAGCGGCATTTCTCACATTTCAGGAATAAACTATAGAAGATGGTACTAATTTTTTTTTCACTTCATGTTTATCAAATATGTAAAACCTTACACTTTCATAGCAATATATGAAACAGAATTGAGTATTTTTCAAAACAAACAACTGACAAAACTGATATAAAATTGAGTATCTTATCAAACTACAAAATTTGATTAAAATTGATAATTTGAGAATAGATGAGTAATTTCCTTATCAGATTTTGAAACAAAATTCTGATAAAAATGACAATATTGATATTCATGTAAAAGAAGCATTTTTCCAATTTCAAAATAAAAATCTGATACAAATTCTGTTGATCATGCCATGCACTGTCCACTATTGAGTCAGAACACAATTTTAAACTTTAATCTAAAAATAATACATGGTATTTATTGTTCTATTCAAAGATGGACAGTCTTAAAAGGCTTATAGTTACTATATGTCATTATGTGAGAAATCACAGAATTTAAGGTGACAACAGACACTTTCCGTGGTACTCACATAAATGTCATTTTAACCAACTTATTTTAGTAATTATTGATATTTATTTAATCTTTGTGCATTAAATGTCGTTGATCAACATAAAAAATAACATATTTGAAAAAAATGCCTTTGTAAATGATTGATTTTTAATAAAAATCCTAAAATTTTAAATCGTCATATCAAAGTCATTTTTTATTTTTTTGTCATCAAACTTTTGGAAAATAAACATACTTATAATATCTGGGGAACCGTGTCTCAAATTTTTTCTATCTTTTCTCAAAAAAATATTACGTAACGTCAAACATTTTATGCGACTTTTTTCACCATACATATTACGTAATTAAAGATAATTAAGTCGCTGATTGAGCAAACAAAAATCCCTGACACGGTTCCCTCCGTAAATAAATTCCCTTTCATGTGCTTTAAACCCCATGTTAATTGCTTGATTATTAAAAAAGTTATGCCGATTCAAAGTTAGTCCGACCCGCATCAAACGAAGTGTCATAAATCGGCTGTTCTCTCTCGGACCCCTACGTTTCACGCTAAATAATTGCATAATACACAAATATCGCACCAGAGAGGGTCACAAGTTGCGCTAACATACTCTTACAACATTTTATGACCCAGTGACATCTGACCAATAAAAAAGTTGCTGCTTAATATCAGTTTATAACAGAAATTTCTTCAAATCTTAACGTGATTTACTGTCGGTCGCACATGTCACGTGACTTTCGGTAAAATCTGAGGCACTCGGTGGGGGAAATGGAACGTATTTGCGCACCGCTAGCGGGGTATTTAATTGTTTCACTTTTGAAGATTATTATCATCAGCATTATTATTATATTATACCAGTGTCACTCTGTCTGTGTATTCGTGTATGAAATTCCGTTAAAATATAAATTAAAATAACAAAAAACTGAGCTTCTGATGGTCTTTTAAAGTCCATGGTAAATGTAAAAATAAAAACGAGATATTATATATTTCTTCCTCCAAATTGAAATAAATGCTTGACATATTATAATAGAAATAAAAGGTATCACTCGATCATTATGATCTGACCTTTATGACTTCTTTTATCATGAAAATCATCTATGCACGGCATAGATATCCAGTTTCTACTGGGATATACAATAAATTCCATACTTTGTCCCAGGTTTATTAGTACTGTGTTCGATTTACTGGCGAACAATTTATTCAGAGCATTCACTGATAGTATATATTAATATCTTTTTTTATTGATTCATAGAGAAATGATCATCCTTAAACAATCTAAAATGGTTTAGAAATTTGTCAGGGACACCTTACCAAAAGTCATATAAACAAGAGCTGTCCGTAAGACAGCGCGCTCGACTTTTTTATTGCTTGCCAATAAAAAAAGTTTTTGCAGTAAAAGGCAATACAAGAATCTCTGTATTTTTAAAGTGAACAATGGCCATGAGCATTAAGATATTTAGTGAAGAATTATTTTATTATGACATAATTTATGGTAAAGTGAACAAGTGGATAGGAATGAATTTTTTTAGATTTTTTAAGTTTTTTAGTGCTTGCCTATAATACAAAACATTGACAGTTAAGGGCCATAATTCAAATAAAATCTTTGACAGAATTACCTTCTCCTGGACATGTTTGGGAATCATGATTGTAAACAAGTATTCCAACTTTCAAATTAATATCTCAAACAGTTCAGTCAAAAAGTGGACTGGTACTAAAAACTTAACCAAGATTCTAAGTCGATAAAAGGCCTTAATTTTTAAAACAAATCCTTGACAGAGTTACCTTCTCTTGCGTACAGATGGGGGTAATGATGTGAAATAGCATTAAAAGTTTCAAAGCAATATCTCAAAGGGTTAAGGCAATAAGTGGATTTTACCCATATTCAATGTATTTTCTAAGTCAAAAAGGGGCATAATTCTGTCAAAAACCTTGACAGAGTTATGTCCTCTTGTCTGTTGATGAAGGTCGTGATGGTAAACAAGTATGGTCAGTTTCAAAGCAATACCTCCAATGGTTTTGAAATAAAGTGAGGTGGTACAAAAAACTTAACCAAGCGCAATACACTTTCTAAGTCAAAAAAGGGCCATAATTCTGTCAAAAACCTTGACAGAGTTATGTACTCTTGTCTGTAGATGGAGGTTATGATGGTGAACAAGTATGGTAAGTTTCAAAGCCATACTTGTAATACTTCTGAAATAAAGTGGGGTGGTACGAAAAACTTAACCAAGGTGTGACGCCGACGCCGACGCCGGGGCGAGTAGGATAGCTCCCCTTTTCATAGAAAAGTCGAGCTAAAAATGTTGTCTGTTTTTGTTGTTGTTTTACTTGACATTGTTAGAAAACGAGGTTGAATGTAAAGCAAGCCAATGAATCCGTACAAAAGTCCATAAACTCAATGTAATATCTATCAGATTAACGGGACAGACAAATTATTTTCACACATTATGGATATTTTAGCAACTATATTTTAAATCAACCCGTGGTCGTGCGATTTGCCGCTATGCTTAATTATTTATGTTTCATACATTAAGTTACGTACATTGGCCGACAATTTCTTATTTTATAAAAAAGGCTAACTAAAAGGTAGACGATATTCATAAAAGATGTACGGTATTTGTACGATACATGAATTACGAGTAGTATGGACCAGTATGGACGGGTAATTCACGGATATATGGAACTACCGATTTCCCTCATTGATGCCTCAACAGGGGGCGGAGCGTTATCGATAATTGACAGGTTACGCGAATAGCAGATACAAATAGTATAGGTACCGTTTTAATACGTTTAAAAACACATTTTTTGGACTAACTGTTTCCAAAATTAAATCACGAATGTGTTCAGAAAAGGTTGATAAATTTACTAAGCAAAGAATCTCATTTTAGGTATTTTCAGTAATAATTGACTCCGTTGTCACCTTAAGAATTGCAATTATAATGTGTTTTTTTTTACCTAAAACAATAGGAAATTTTATTAACCACTTTAATTGTAGCTACAAATTGGAAACTGTCATTCAGTTATGCAGATTATCAAAACTTACAAGGAAGACACTTTCAAGCAAAAAATAGGAAACAGAAGTGAAAAGAGAAAAAAGTGAGAAAAGAGAGAAAATTTAAAAGACATATTAAAGTTGTAATAGCAAATCTAGAAAGAAATGCATAATAAACAGAAATGAGTAATTGTAATCAATTACAGTAATGTATCAGTAATGAAAATTGAAAGAGGTAAATGTAGTTACAAATTATTGCTTTCTTATTCAACATTACTCTATAATCACACATATTATCTCCCTTATTCATATATCACTTAATATGTATAATGGACTAGTCCTGCTTTAATTTTGGATCAGTCTATTATTAATGAGAGGGGTTTTCATATCAAAACTTGTAAAATTAAGCGGTTAATAGCACAAAGTCAAGTGGGGTTGCATAAGGAAGAATAATTAGGGCATTATTCCTGCTAATATTTTTACCTTTAGGTTGCCATCGGCAACTGAATCTGAACATGTGACTTGTGCAAACCTTTTCGAATCTTACACTGGTTGCTTGTACAGACCAGAATATCTAGCTCGAGACGGACTGTTAACAGTGGTAACGAGGCTCTACTGATTTTCAGCTAACCAGTTACCCAAGAGCAAGATATGCCCGTCTGCACAGAGAGCCGGTGTTTGATTCTTTTTCTTGCATATTACATATCAATTATTTTCAGGACAGAAATTATGAAAACTTATATTCTCATTATGCACTTTTTTCTTGTAGTAGCTTATGAACTTACAACTTCATTCATAACGATTAAGTGACGTCATCCTAAGAACGCCTTAAATGGTCATATGCTGATATATAACTTGATGGTCAAAAAAGTCAAAGTTCACTGCTGATTCATTACTGTAATACAGAATGATGAGATAAAAACCTACACAGTAAAGTAATTTATATCTTATGCTGTTATATGAAAGACTTTACAACTAGGACTCAATAAATGTTCAATGAAAAACACAGTTATAGCTAAAAAGATGTTCATAACAAGAGCTGTCCGTAAGACAGCGCGCTCGACTTTTTTATTGCTTGCCAATAAAAAAAGTTTTTGCAGTAAAAGGCAATACAAGAATCTCTGTATTTTTAAAGTGAACAATGGCCATGAGCATTAAGATATTTAGTGAAGAATTATTTTACTGAATTGTGTGATACCCTTGAACACTGCAGGTTCAGTGGATAGGAATGAATTTTTTTAGATTTTTTAAGTTTTTTAGTGCTTGCCTATAATACAAAACATTGACAGTTAAGGGCCATAATTCAAATAAAATCTTTGACAGAATTACCTTCTCCTGGACATGTTTGGGAATCATGATTGTAAACAAGTATTCCAACTTTCAAATTAATATCTCAAACAGTTCAGTCAAAAAGTGGACTGGTACTAAAAACTTAACCAAGATTCTAAGTCGATAAAAGGCCTTAATTTTTAAAACAAATCCTTGACAGAGTTACCTTCTCTTGCGTACAGATGGGGGTAATGATGTGAAATAGCATTAAAAGTTTCAAAGCAATATCTCAAAGGGTTAAGGCAATAAGTGGATTTTACCCATATTCAATGTATTTTTCTAAGTCAAAAAGGGGCATAATTCTGTCAAAAACCTTGACAGAGTTATGTCCTCTTGTCTGTTGATGAAGGTCGTGATGGTAAACAAGTATGGTCAGTTTCAAAGCAATACCTCCAATGGTTTTTGAAATAAAGTGAGGTGGTACAAAAAACTTAACCAAGCTCAATACACTTTCTAAGTTCAAAAAAGGGCCATAATTCTGTCAAAACCTTGACAGAGTTATGTACTCTTGTCTGTAGATGGAGGTTATGATGGTGAACAAGTATGGTAAGTTTCAAAGCCATACTTGTAATACTTCTGAAATAAAGTGGGGTGGTACGAAAAACTTAACCAAGGTGTGACGCCAACGCCGACGCCGACGCCGGGGCGAGTAGGATAGCTCCCCTTTTCATAGAAAAGTCGAGCTAAAAACTGCAAAAGATCTGCAAATCAATCTTGACAAGTTTGTGAAAAAACGCCCACAATACAAAACATTGTTTCAGTTTTAACTAGACATGTGACAACAGAACATGGGTTTCTCCATATTCTAAGTATTGCCTTCCCCCATTCCCTAAAATCTCACAGATCTACAATATCCAAGAAATGAGAACATTCAAACAAAATACTACAACAGAATTTTGATCATAGTTTATCAATATAAAGCAAGAATGTTTCTACAAAAAGCCCAACTCCAAGAATACCATACTCTTATACATAAAATGGATGACCAGTCTGACACTTACTCCATTGGTTTGCTCGTACGGTTTCTTCAATACCCTCCGGATCTTCGAGAATTTCGGACGGAATAGTTCCAAGCTGACCCATATCTTGTGACGGTTGAAGACCATTTCCCCGAATATCAAGATGCATTGGACCTGAAATATGATTACAGATACTGAAAAATAATTTGTTATTACAGAAACTGAAATATAATTACAGATACTGAAATATAGTTATTACAAATAAGGATACTGAAATATAATTATATACTGAAATATAATTACAGATACTGAAACAAACTATTATTACAGATACTGAATATTAATTACAGATACTGAAACATGATTTATTATAACATATACTGAAACATAATTATAGATGATGAAACATAATTACAGATAATGAAATATAATTACAGATACTGAAACAAATTATTATTACAGATACTGAATCTTAATTACAGATACTGAAACGAAACATGATTTATTATTACAAATACTGAAACATAATTATAGATGATGAAACACAATTACAGATAATGAAATAAAATTACAGAAACTGAAATATAATTACAGATACTTGAATATAATTATCACAGATAATGAAATATAATTAAGATACTGAAATATAATTACATATACTGAAACATAATTACACTGACTCAGCTTCATCTTAAAAGCTTAATATAACCATCATTATCAAAGCTTTCTTCAAATTTTTTTGAATTTTCCCATTTATATTACACAAATGATTATTTAATTAGTTCACATTTGATTATATAAAATTATGAAGACAACACTTCAACTCTCAAAATAGCAAACCTGACACACATTATCATCTCTTTACCTAATTACATTATTAAATCTGAAGTTAAAGAAAAAAAGAGGAAAGAAGATGTCAAAAGTTACCATAATTAAGATTTCTGGATGAGGATGAGTTATTAAATGCAACGGAATTATTGAATGGAGTTGATGCTCGTCTAGCCATTCCCTGAGGTGTCTCCGACTGAAAAAAAAAGAATGAAAGAAGATTACATTAAATACAATCATGTAAGTAATTCGTCTTATTTTATGTATGCTATTAACAGAGCATCTCTGTTTATTCATTAAAACTATTTTGTATGCATTTATTGGCCAAATTATTTCCCTGGAAGAATTAAATCAATCTGACCAAGAAAAATAGTCTAAACTTTCATAGAGATAAAATTATTCCACAACACTTTGTCAAATAATTATTAAGTAAATATAATTTAAAAATAAGCCACTTTACTCAAAACATAATTATTATACACAGGATATTTCAAAATAGATACTTTTTTTATTTCAAAATTCAATATCCAGGAAATATTACACCCCATTATATTAACAAAAGGGATTTCAGGTACAGAAAACGCTATGATTAAAATCAATGTTTACAAAATTTGAGTATTTTTTTTTTAAACTAAATTTATTTCAGCGAAATGATTCATTTTCAATGATACAAATGGTTAAAGAGAAGAAACAATTGGTCATGCTTTTCTTAGGTAAGCTTTGCAGGGTAAACTAAGCCAGGGACATTTTTATTGCTGCATGCATGTATTTAAAACAACAGGGCCATGGCTTTGTGCCACTCACTAAAATAAAATTAATGTTCTGTAGGGATATTCTTGATTTTTTTTATATTTAATTCAAGCCCTTCCTAACCAGGACCCAACGGGAACCTAGAGTGGTTCCCGTTTTCCACCAACATAGAGACAGTCAAACTTGCACATTTGTGCAAGCTAACCAAGCTCTATACTGATGGCTGACCATTAAATATCCCAAAAACTTATAATGGACAGTTCCAAAAATGGAAGCTTGACGAGTCCATTTAAGAAATTCAGCAAGGTAGGGCCCCTAACAAAAATCATCAGTACAATCATATACAGGGTCTCATAAAATTATGCCACATATCAAGTTAAGTAAAATAATCCATGCAAATGTTTATGAAAATTATATCATTTAAAGATAAAATTTTTGTTCAAAACTGAAGGCATCTGTTTGACCATTTTGAGGGTTATCTGACTGGTACATACTTTTTGAGGAGAAACTAATGTTACGGCTGACATGGCAATTCCATCTATACTTATAGTTCACCAGTACCAATGACTAACATGCAAAACAAAATAATCCCCATTCTGAACTACCATATAAGTAAAATCAGATAAAGGGAGGTAAATGCCAATTGCAAGAATTTTTATTTTTACAAAACTCATCTCCCTTTACATATCAGAAGCCATTTTAAGGGTCAATATGTAAATCCATAAAAATAAACATAAACATGATTGATAGTCAGTAATAAGCTTCTTTCCCTATGGCAAGAAAAGTTTTTTTATTTTAGTTTTTTTATCAGTCACCATTATATAATTATGTTCATAATGCTTGAAACTATTAAGTTTGAACCTTAAAATGGCAACCAAGGGAAACAACTCTTTATATATATGTTGAAAAAGCATCTGTTGATACAAAACTCCCTGCAAGGAAAACTTTATTACTGGTCAGAATAAATTAGCAGATATATAAAAACAAGAGTACGAATTAAAAACTGGATGAAAATGTAAGCAAGGAAAACCATATACCAATAATAGATACAGCGCTAAAATTCTAGAAGCAAATCTAAACTTAAGCAAGCACACATTTCTAAATCTACAAGCACCAGTTACATATTGAAGACAATTTGTCCAAAAAAAAAAATGTTGTAAAATTACCAAGCATGTGTTTTCATAAAACTTAAAACAATTAAGCCTTATGATTATGTAAATATCAAATAATCAAATAACTAAATAAAAATTTTAAATCAAAATTGAAGTCAAAATACCAAATTTTTATTTTTAATTTGTTAAGTGAACGTTACTAACATATCTTATGGTGAACATGTGAGTGAAACACTCTGAGTGTTGTCCAAACAAAAACAGCTATATGTTTGTGGTGTGATGAAAAACGTTTTCATTTTGTGAATTTCAACTCAGAAATAAGCACCTCTATCTTTAATTTTTTTCCATTAAGAACAAATCCCTTTAAAGGGATGATTTTCTGCTATAGAAGTTCAATAAAAAAATTATTGTTGATAGACTTGTTTAAACTTATAATTAACAGAGTCTTACTTATGTGTAACAGGCAATTATACATAGGGCTGTAACTCATACAAAAATACTTATAAAGGGACACAACTCTGATATGCACAACTAGGTCAGATGTTGAAATGTCCCATAAATTCAAATGGAAATTTGGATACATCTGTATTGACTCTTGGGAAATAAAACCTCATACTAAAATAACCAATGGTAGTTGAATTAAATCTCGCACGACACAAGTCTGTGCTATCTTTTTTTTCTTAGGGTATACAAAAATGCAAGAAAACTAAAAAAATCAACAAGGAATAAACAATGGAATATACATAAATATCATAAAGAAAAGTTCAAAGTTCAAATCCCAAAACCTGCAGGAGAAGTAAACTATATACTCAGCATGCATTCAATTCAAACAGGTGACATAGGAAAAGCATGTGAGCTGGAAAAAAAAAGCAAGTTTTCCTAAAAAAAAAAAAAATATGAAAGGAAATAAAATTTTTTATAAATCTGAAACCTGTACACCATGTCTTCTTAATAATTTTACATTTCTTTTTGTAGTTGTAATTTGCACACATGCTTTTTCTTCATGCAATTTTGCTATATATATCCTTTACCCCCATGCATCTGAGTACACACAAAAAAAGAATATTTGTAACAAAGTGCCCAGTCAGGTGAAAAGGTAAAAAGCCATGTGACTTGAGCAAGTCATGTGATCACATCCGTGTACGAAAAAAGCTTGATGTGATCACATTAAGATCATAGAGATGCTTATTGATCTATATACCCTAAAAGCATGAGTGGTACTAGGCCTTGTGTCCTGAGCACTGATAAATCGCTCCTTAAAGGCAACTCTTAAATCCTTATCAACCGCGCTGCTTGCTCGACTTGACACCAGCTTCTTCTGTAAAAATGTAGTGGCGAAGAACAGATTTGAACCTATTGTTTTATTAGCTTATCTCTAATCTAATTTTCTAAGTTACAGTATATATACAACTAATAGTTCAACTATTAAAGTGTGGTTTGTGAATGGAGTACATTTTAATAGCATCTGTAAAGTTGAAGTTAATCTTTCTTATATAATATAGACTTTCTAACTGTAAATTTGATAAGGATAGACAAAGAATTTTCTCTGAAGAGATGAGTATCAAAGGTTCAACACAACACTATCATATCTCTATTGAAATTTGAAATAAGTTTCGATAGAGTCGTAATAAACTCTTGGAAATAATCTCTAAATTAGCTTCTTTCTAAGGAGAACAATGTATAGATTATGAAACTGAGACTAGTGTTAATTACTAGCATCTGATTGGTTGAATCTATGGAAAGAAATTGAAATTGACCAACAAAATTGCTTGTTTTTAATATCTGCCAGCCAATCATTACTATAAAAATTTTGATTCAGTTTTAAATGGACAAATGACCTAATTTTATTATTTAATTTAATTTAACTTAAATTTTAGGTCTTACTTAAATCATTACAGCATGTGCAAAGTCAGGCACATTTTGCTTTGTACAAGGAAGAATAACCAAGCCTCTGAACAATTCAGATCAAACAAACAAAAATCTTGTCAAATAAATGCTTTACGAATAAATATTAGATAAAGAAAGTAACATTTGGCAAAATTAAAACATCTAATGACGCACGGAAAATCTTTATGAAATAAGCCTAAAATAGGAGCCTATGAAGTCAAGTTGTTGCTTTTATCTACAAGTACATTCTATCAGGCATAGTTAACAAAAAGGATAAGTTTAATAACTGAAATATTAGCAATAACAAGCAAGAAAAGTTATAAACTGTTTATTTAGTACATGTAGCACCTAATGTATTCAAGTAAAAATAATTGAGGATTTAATGAAGTATTGTTGAAAATAATTACATCCTATATTATGCGATTGTCTCAAAGATCAGTAAGTAACCATTTATTGTTATTTACATATACACTGATACTTAAGGCAGTACATTCAAACCATGACTTAATAAGTGAATGAACATGAATGACTGAATAAATGAATGTGAATAAAGAAATGAATAAATGAGTGATTTTATATGAATGAATAAATGATAGTACTACACATAAACCTTAAAATTCACATGTAAATGTTTTGATTTCACATCTTGTCTTTCTAAGTTCAACCAATAGCAAAAGTAACAATTATCTAATTTGATTTATAAGTTTACTTGATGCACTGACAAATCTAAACAAATCTCTTAACAAAAGAGGTTAACTGAAACCTGTCAAAAGCTATTCAGGCTTCTTGTGAATAAATAAAACTCACATCTATTTAAGTCATAATCAAAACTATTTCAAATCAAATGTCAAAATCAAAATGTCAAATATAAGCAAAAAAAGAATATTGAATCCTGATTTATATCTACAGGTTTATGACTGAGCAGTTAACCCTTAAATGCTAATTGTGAAAATGACATGTCCCTGTCTCCATAAAAAAATCTAGGCTAGCCTGTGAAAATCTAAGTGCCTTTCTTCAGTAAAATGCCAGGCTATCCGATAATTTGAAATCCCTGCCTCCAGTAAAGTGAGGCTAAATTGTGAATCATCTGGAGTCCCTTCCTCCAGCAAAAACCAGGGCAAAATGTGTATCCAAGTTCCTTCCTCCATTAAAAAGAGCGATCAGTGATCACATGTGTCGCCTCATAATGGCCAATTTCATGTTGGGACAAGTTTTGTGACAGACAGTCAGACAGACGGACAGTGCACAACTAGACTTGGTACAGATCATTCCTGTAAAGTTTGGATGAAATTGCACCAGTAGTTTATGAGGAATAGTCCGGACAAGTTTTGTGACGGACGGACAGACAGACGACGGAGAAGTGATCCCTATATGTCGACACTACTCCATAGAGGCGACACAAAGAGCAAAGATTGCCAGTGAATCTGCAGTCTGTGTACATTTATTTAAGATTTTTGACATAACACCCCCCAATTTGGCAATGGACAGTTCCAAATTCAAAACAGGACAAGTTCATTACAATAATCTAGCAGAGTAAGGGTTAACCACTGTACCTGCTGCTTTACTTGTAAGCAGTATAAAATAGTTTACGCTGAGAAGAAAAAAGTTTAAAACAAATGAAATCATAATGAAACATATTTCCTTTTTTTTTTTCTAACATACTAAAGATCTGTATTTATCACATGATGTTCCTTTATTGTTTTCCATGTAATACATCCATTTCTATACATTACATTTCATCACATTAGTGCAGTAATGGGTTAAGTCCTTCTAAATTTTATAAGAGTTAACCAGTTATTGCACGAAGGTGACAATTTAATGTACAAATTCTAAGTCAAATGGTAATTTTGGAATCTTTTGCACCTCTTTTTGGTTTTGTAATATCATGTGATAAACATGATCTTATATTACTATCATTTCATACAGATTTTTATCAAAACCTGTCAAGGCAAAATGTTATAAAGCTTGCCACAGACTCCCTTTAATTACACTTTCCTTGACTGGTATAATATAAATTCATATGAAATAACAAATCCTGTAATAAAGTTCTATGCTTATCTTATAAATAAGATGGCCTGAAAGTATCAGGAATATTCACCTGTAGACGAACATTGGGTTCAAGCTCCATAGGGGTACCAATAGGGGGTAAGGCAGCACCATTTCTAGTATTGTAAAGGGGAGATGAGAGACGACCCTGGATACCAGGTGGAATTATCTTCTTCACTAGTAACGGGTTATGTACGGCTATCCTCTCCTCATCCTGCTATATATACCATATAAATATATGACATAAATGTATGACATAATGTATGACATAAATGTTAGACATAGAAATAAGACATATTACGTCACATTAGTGCAGTAACTGTTTAACTCTTATCAAATTATACATGGAGTTTACCTGTTACTGCACTAAAGTGAAAATAAGAATGAGAATGAAATATGACATAAAATTTCTAGGCTATATGGCATAGTTTGACATAAGAATTACAATGAAATATAACATAATTTGCCATAACATCTATTTGTTTCTTTTTATTTTGGTTATCATATACAAAGATAAAAACAATAAATAAAAAATTTATGTGTTCACAACCTTTATTGTCATAACTAAATAAAATGAATATAATTAAGATCAGGTTATAAACATGTTTATATGAACACTTCTTATGGCATACATACCACACTTGGTGTTTTGGACCTATTGTCATGAGAGATAGGTGCGAGCCTGACATTTCCTCTGCCACGTCCACCTGGTGGGTACCGAGTACTGCCCGGCCGCCGCATCATTGTGGGTATACTAGACACTGGCCTTGCTAACTGTACCGCCATCTGCTGCTCAGATACATCACTGAAATTATATACATCAATTAAAATCCTAACATTCACATTTACAACAACAACAACAACAAACTCTACTATATGCTTAATAGTAAAACGTATTTCTGTGGTTATTCATACAGTTCAAACTATAGTAGAGCAATCATTTCTTATAGAGAGGCAGCATAATATTTATAAACCTTAAAAATCTTATATAAAGACTAATTTGTAAAATTATCTCCCCTTACAATGTCATGCTTATTACTTACTGCACAGCAGCAAGAGACACAAACTTTATATCAGTGTTGTTATATTTTTTTTATCTTAATACATGTTTATCATAAATTCCAAATGTAAAACATAAATTCCAAATGAGCCGCGTCATGACAAAACCAACATAATGGGTTTGCGACCAGCATGGATCAAGACCAGCCTGCGCATCCGCGCAGTCTGATCAGGATCCATGCTGTTCGCTATCAGTTTCTCTACTTGTCATAGGGTTTGTAAGCGAACAGCATGGATCCTGATCAGACTGCGCAAACCCATTATGTTGGTTTTGTCGTGACTTTCACTCCTAAGAATGAATACAGACAAATCTGGCACAATGCAACACATCTACTGTTCAACCCGGTGATATGTGGCTCAGCTGGGTTGCATTTACTATAACAGTTCATGAACAGATCTTGATTAAACTGAGTCTGAAATTATCGTTTTTTTCAGGGGTATTGTTACCATTCCTGTCACCTAGATCTTTTAATTTCAGAAATATCATTAAAATTTTGAATTCTGGTAAGAATTTAACAAAATTACCTCCCCTTATTCAATCTTAGCTAAAAAGTTTGTCATAATATTCTAACTTAAGCATAATAATCTAAATAGCATGATATAGCATGGTAAATTGGCGGCGTGGCCGAGAGGTTAACGCGTCGGTTTAGTAATCTAAGGATTGCTGACCGCGTGGGTTCAAACCCTGTCAGGGTCAAGCCGTTGTTTCCTTGAGCAAGAAACTTTACATTCATTGCTTAGTACTGGTTGGTTCCAGGAACAGATTCGAAGAGTGTTTCAATAAGCTTATAGCTTCCATACAATCGAACTAAAATAAATTTGTATAAACTAAACTAAATAGCATGATAATCTAAATAGATTGTACTAACGATAATATTTTTGAGGTCTCCCTGTGTATAGGTATTTTCTGTGATATTTGAAGGACACCGTCCAGTTTCGGTGATTCTACCGGTCTCTCCAGTGCCAACATGGTGTGTGCTCGTGCACCCAATGGATTATACTATAAAAATACATACATGTATATACAATATAACTTACAGCATATATAATTAAAAAAAAACTATTTATAAAAGTAAGTTATAAATAAAGAGTATGCTTGTCCATATGATTCATTCCTGAGATGCTTGCCCATATGATTCATTCCAGTGTCAAGGGTAAATAAACAAAACAATATTTTTTTAGGTTTTGACACAGAAAATTACCAATACTAAATTGGTTATCTTTTAAAAGTGATTCTAGCAGGGCTAGTACACAATGACTAACAGATTGATATGAATATAAATGAACATTTTATAAATTGATAGTATATTAAAACTTTTTCAAAATTTCAATAACTAATTGTCTATTTCAAATTTTGTAATTATTTTCAGATTTTTTTCTCCTTCTCCAAGAAGCCTATTATTTTAAAATTTCATAATACATTTCAAATTGGGATTCAAACTTAACACATTGCCATTAGCAATAAAATTTTTTTAAAATTTCAATTGAGCTTGAGTTAAATTTGATTTATTTATTTCCTAGACATAAGATGTTTTTTTTACCCTGATCTGTGAATTTTCTCTTGATGGGGGCCCTGGTGTTGATGCATTCTTTAATGTTTGTGATATATTCTGGATTGACTGGTTCCTCCTTTTATCATCTGGAAAAGAAATGACATAGCAAAAATTATAAATGCTGGGCATCAGTCTATACAATTATTACCATAGACCCTATGCGTGTGTGGTTTTTTTCCATATAAATTTACGATGTATTTCTATACTGCATCATTAGTTCAATACAAATGCAAATTCAACCTGAATGAACTAATGCACTTTATGCATTATAATTTTACTTATTGCGTCAATTGGCATATACAAAAAACATGAATGCTTGCATGCGTTATTGCACTTATTAAATCATAGCTGCGCCATTTAACTCTTTGAGCTTAGCGGGACGAAAAATGTGTCCATGAATAAACGCACTTATGCCATATGAATTTTTTTTTTTTTTTTTTTTTAATGTTAACTTATGACAAGGAAGACAAAATAAATTCTTATCTAACAGTGACACTGGTGTAAATGGAATGAATGTACAGCCTTGCACTTGTTGTCTAGTTAATAATGAGATTTATTACGACTTGTTAACGCATCATTTAAGATGTAATATGTAAATTATTATGTCCTTTATCTGACATTTAGCCATAGATCCTTAATCATTACCCCTATTATATTCATGCTGAAAATCTTTATCTCTAGGCTATTAGAATAAAAGAAACTTGCCTAATTAAGTTTGAATGGCGGCTTAAAAAAACAAAAATAATTATATTTGCATGATATGAACAGTTATATATATATAAATAATCAATATCTTACCTAAAACAATTATTGAGTATTTTTTCAACAGCGGTCTTATCCATGAAATAACCTGTAATTGAAATGGTGAGTCAATTAGTTCATATACTATGATAAATTTGGTATCAATCCCTTAACTTAATGGACTATAACCATGTTTTTACAACTATTACTATGAATAGCTCTTTTCTAAATGGTCCAAATCAATTAAAAACATAAAATAAATATAATTTTCCAAGTTTCTTAACTTGACTTGATTCGGACATGCATTTACATGCATTCACTCAATGCCATTTATAGGGATATCTATTAAAAAAATTCAATGGTTTAATAGCAACCAAATATATCTTTTTTTTTCTCATACTTCACTGAGGAACAAACTAAATTGGTGTTATACTGGTGGCTCAGAAAGCTATATTTTATTCAGTTAGGGTTCAAAAGAGCTAAGGAAAATACAAACCTCTTGCCATATGCAATCAAACGTGGAGCTTGCAACACTATCTTTGAAGCAAGCATTTGGTGTTATAGGTGGATATGCTACGCGTCTTCTCCGCGGTGTTAACTGTTTCTTATTCTCATGGTGGTCTTCATAACTGAAAGAAAAAACAAAATGTATTTAATACACTGTGTTCATATAATACACTGTGTTCACATATAATACATTGCCCTCATATAATGCACTGTGTTCATATAATACATTGCCCTCATATAATGCCCTGTGTTCATATAATATACTGTGTTCATATAATACACTGTGTTCAAATATAATACATTGCCCTCATATAATGCACTGTGTTCATATAATACATTGCCCTCATATAATGCACTGTGTTCATATAATACATTCCCCTCATATAATGCACTGTCCTCATATTATAAACATTTTCCTCATATAAAACATTACCCTTGTAAAATTCATTGTCAACATATAATATAGTGCTATATGAATATATAAAACGTGTGCTCATTTAAAACGTACTGTCCTCATATATAATACAATGTCCCATATAATATGCTATTCTCATATAACACACTACAACCCTCATATAATACACCTTTTTCGTATACTACAATATCCTCATATTAAACACCTTTCAACATATACATGTATAATACACTGTCCTCATAAAATACATAATTCTCATTTATAATACAATATGCTCATGTACTGCCCTCATAAAATACAATGTTCTCATATAATACACTACACTGTCCTCATAAATTATACACTGTTACTAGTCTTTAGTATACTTATCCATTTTCCATTCTATACATATACATAAAATTGATACAATTAGGCAGGAATGAATTTTTCATTTCTTATGTATCAAGCTTGTTTATTATCTTCGATTCTTATTTGTAAAAAAATGCCTTTGATACAAAAGAATATCATTTCCATGAACATTCTAAAGATATGATTGCATTCAGAGGGCTGTTTTAAAATCATGTTCAATGTAAGACAGACAACTGTACTCAGCTTAGTCTTGGAACAAACTCTGGATTACCTCCCTTTATACTAAACAATGGCTTCATTTTGATTATTAAGTATCTAAAATGACAATACTACCTCTAATGTAACTGATAAAAACAATGTCAGTTATTGGAATGAAAAATAGAACAGTATTCGGAAGCTACATACTGCGGTTATTGGCAGAAAATTGTTTATGACCCGAGAACAGAATGACATAATCTTATAAGTAATTGACAGCAAATGTTTTATGTAAATTAAAAAAAAATTATCATATAGCCAAGTTCGCTGGTTGACAGCAATAACATCATGAACAAACATTATTATTAAGGTAATTGACAAGAAATTCTTCCATCATATAAAAATAATGAATATAGCCTAGTACTTACATATCTTTGTAATCGACAGCAATGATTTCTTCATAATCACCCTCGGAATCGTAAACTTCCTCCTCGAGAAATGAGAATTCAGACAGGTGAGTTGATGGCGTACCTGAGTTACGTGACCGAGCCTCGACGGGAGGAACAATGGCCCGCACTTGCCTCCCACTAACTGACAACCTACAACAGAACAAAATTCATAGACATTGCCCAGAAAGACTTTATAAACAGAATCTCTAGGGCTAACTCTGTCTCAATAGACCAAAAGTCTAACTTAAATCCTAAACATTTAGGATTTCCTGAATAGACTAGCCAAAGACATGTCAAAAATTGTACAGCACAAAAAAAAAACAACAATTATTCTAGGACTATTACAGAAAATGCTTTTTTATCCATAGTATGATCTTTCATACATTCCTTTTCTTATGGAGAAATGATAGTTAATAGCTTCGTTATGCGATGCCTCTCCTACACAGCGGGTTACAGGGTCAAACCTTGCCAGCATTAAAGCCATACCAAGATTTGCTACATGAACCACAGCTGCTTTCAAGCTGTACCTATCTTACCAGTAGTTTCTAAATCAATTACTTCTTTACTTCTGTGCAGTTTGATGTAGCTAAACATATATTTATTTCAGTATTTTGACATTGAAATTCATTAAAGATCAATTATGCATCAGAAATGGTATCGATTTAATTTCTCAAAATCTTTATTATTTTTATTATTTTGCTACTGTTTAAAAACAAAATAGACCCATTTCCCATTATACATGAACTATTTTTTTTTTGTTCTGTCAGTAATTGGTATAATTATAGTGAATTAGTATTTTGTATGGAAGTCATAACTCTAATTTGTTTACATTAGGCTACCTTAATGACACATAACTGCACGTTCAGCGCTACTTTCTTCAGTATTTAAACATGTAACATGCTCTAAATTCATTATTGAAACATTATTTATCACATGTTTGACATTTCTAAAGAAGTAAAAAAATGGATTTCTGAGGCATTAATTTGCCATTAAATTAACAACAGATTGGTCTGTATACAATACAATATTATTGAGCACTGGGCAAGTGAATTATACAGTATAAATAATACAGATAGACAGCACCCTAAAGGTAATATTTTTGCTGAAAAATCACTACCATACTGTTCGTTACACTTTTTGGCACATTTTTCAAATTTCATCCATGACAGAGCTTTAATGAGTAAAGATACATGTTGAATACCTTCACAACATTACTGGACATTAACAGTATTGGTGTACTTTGTTAATTTTATCCGAACCTACTAAAATAACCATTATTGTCAAGGTGAAAGAAAAAGGGTTAATCTATTCGAAAATCCATTGCTTATTTTATCTGAACTTACTAAAATAACCATTATTGTCAAGGTCGAAGAAAAAAGGGTTAATCTATTCGAATTTCCCTATACACGATTGAACAGCGGTGTTATCATCGTACCTGATTCGGAAGCAATAAAAATTTGCGGTTCAGTCAATATTTGCCTAATCTCTAGAATGTTAACAGATATCAACTATTGATCTGTACCGAGTATTTATCTGCGTATGTTGACAAACACCCGCTTTGAAGACTCCCCGTAATGGAACCTAAAGCACAAAAGTCATGTTAAGTGATACCTTATCTTTTCGCAATTACGATACAATTTTTTTTAAATGTTGTCCTAAAGTTCAGCCAAGCAGATGGTAAAATTAAAGCGCAGTGTAATAACAAAATAATGAATTTTGAACATTTACGAACATTTTTGCGATGAAGATACTTAAGTGTTGCTACAATTTGATGAATAAAACTAATCTGTGAAATTACTTCTCTGAAACTACTGCTGTTCAATTAATATGAGCCTAATTGTCTTTCATATGGACCAATAAACTATTAATTTCTTTCAAAAAATATTATGATTTTTTTTTTCATTTTTCAGCAGTTATGTAAAACATGATTTTATCATGCTATTTTTAGCTTTTAAAACTGTCACACGTGTTTGAACTTGGTTCTCCTTTCCAATGTAACAAATTGATTAATGACTCTCAATTTCATACAGCTCTGCATAATTTTTTCATGGTCTGTTCACTTGGATGCTTATTACTTTACCATGTAGGCCAATGTTTCTAAATATGATCGCGATCATTTGGAAGCATGCTGTTTTATTATGCAGAAACAGCTTGCAATAAAAGTCACCATAAATTCAGAAAATAGTTCCGCAAAAGCCCAGGTGAATAGACAACCATTGTCATAGTAACTGGACAAACACATCAAAATATTGATACAGTTTTAAAGGTAGTGTAGGCAGTATTTTGTTGAAAATTGAACTTTAATATTAAAAGTGTATAAAGCTATAAATCTGCAACATTCAGTATACAAAATAATAGTTTGAATTATTAAAAAGAATAATTTCAAACTATCTGTATGAAAGAAGTATGTTTTGTAGTGAATGGAGGATGCTAAACCAGTTAATCTACTTTTTGTTGGTTGACTGGGTTTTTATTGCACCAACATTATGGTGATTTTCCAGCTTTACTACTTGTGCTCCTCTGTACATTATTTCATGCCAACCGGGCACCTGAGTAAAACCATCAAAGTTCTAACAGCTACACATTCAAGTCCTACTTAAAAGAGCAGCATAATATTTTGTTCTATAACACTGTAATTCTGTTTATGTGTAATAGTCACATGACAGATATTAAACTGAGGCATTTTATATTAAAAATCTTTCAAGAAACCACCATACGGGTGTGGAAGGAACATAATTTTACCATAATTAAATTTTATACAAATTTTTCATTGGATATACATGTAGCTCATCTTCTTTGGAAATATTAAGGGATAAAATCAATAGAGGATGTGATTTAACCTGGTCTTAACCTGTCTAATTTATTAAATGCATTTGTTTTCTGGAGGAAATTATGGTTTTAATGGCTGAAATTATGGTTTTAATGGCTGAAATTATGGTTGGTTTTAATGTGCAAACTTCTGTTTAATAATTTGATAAAGAAAAAAATTGTCTTACTAATGGATGGCACTTTATGTTGGTCTACTCTTTTAAATACTTTTGATAAACAAAAATGTCTTACTAATGGATGGCATGATAGAGGTTTACGCTGTTAAACACTTTTGATAAAAGAAACAACGTCTTTCTAATGGATGACAAGATTATACTTTTCGTATGGTTTACTATTTCAAACACTTTTGATAACGGAAACAATGTCTTACTAATGGATTGCATGATATACTTTTATTATTTCAAACATATTTTTGAAAAAGAAAAATATTTAGACAAGATCAAATCTTGTATTGCCACCTTTAAAACCATTTTATCACTTACATTGAGGTATGTGTTGACATGCGATGCGATGATATCACAGGATCTTGAGAATGACTTGACAATTTCAAAGCACACACTTGAAATATTTCATGACATATTGGAGCTATTTAACGGCTTTTCAACGATGTCAGAACATTGTTTTGTTTAATTTAGCTAGGTGCTTGATTGAAATATCTCACACTGTGTGTGCTGTGTGTGGCAGCTTCTAGCAAAATGACAAATACGTTTTTTTTCTTTATTGAGAGAAATGATTTGACTATCTTCATGTTATGTATAAACATTTTAAGATGTGAGCAAGATTTTTAACATTTTATTCTATGTAATTGTATATCTAATCTGTGATTTAAAAAAAACAACTTACAATTGGTAAAAGTCAATGCATTAAATTTGTTATTTGTTAATAAATGAAAACAACTTTGACCTGAAAGCAAAGCAATTTGTTTGCAGCACATTTCAAATGTAAAGAAAATTAATGTGTAGATATCTTTGGTTTGCCAAACTTCATAATAATTTTGTAATTCAAAGCGACATTTTTGATTGCAAAGTTATATTATATATTCAGAAAATCATATCTTGTATTGCAAGATCATATTTGATATTGCAAGGCAATAGTGTGTATTGCAAGGCTGTATTTGTATAGAAAATCCTATATTGCAAGGCCATATTTTGTATTGCAGGGCCATATTTAGTATTGCAACATCATATTTTGTATAACAAGGTAATATTTCACATGTGAAGCCATAAATTTGTATTGCAAAACTATATTAAATTTTTTGCATATAGATATATTTTAAAGTCAGTCAATCACAGACAACTTCTTCAAATGAAGTGATAACTAAACCAATTTAGCCTCACACATTTTAATATTTTTGTTTTAAAATGTCAAAACAATAGTTTGATCATTTTCAAACACTATAAAATATCTCACTTTGCAGGAGACCAAATGCTGATGTTTTATGGACTTTATCATTAAACAGAAGCAATTTGCAGCATAATTAAATAGATTGATAATCAAAATGTCAAATGTCACATGTTCCAATTTTTATCATTAGCCCTTCACCTGCTGAATTTCTTACATGGGCTTGTCAAACTTTCTTTTTTAGAACTGCCTATTTTAATATCAATATTTGGGATATCTTGTCTGGCCTGGCCGCCCTGTACTGGTGGAAAAGGCTAAATCAATTCCAGAAAGGTTAATTCAGCAACTAAAGCACCAATTCTTTACTCACTGCTTATCAAAAATGCAAGAACTGTTGGTTTTTTATTGTTGTTTTTTTTAATTGAATCGATCATTTTTCCTTCATATTTTTTTATATTTTTTCCCTGGAAATGGATTGGGTGACGTCAATACCAAGCTTTCTGTTCATAATTAATTCAGCTTCATCTAATATTGTTTATATAAACAGATAAATATCACTGATTGAACAGTTCAAACAGTGATTATCAATAAAACCACATATCAATTACATTAATTAATTACAGCAATGCTTAAATAATTTACAAGAAGCTATTATTCCGGGAATATTCAGCCAAAGTACATCGCCTTGAAATTTGATGACTATTTACATTTCATATTATGATATCTGACACAAAAATAACAAAAAAAAAATTATTTTGCTTGTGCTTTCTTTAAATAGTCAATAAAATAATTCTACTCCACCCCTCTTTAATTAATTAACTCAGTACCCGACCCATAACTTTTTCCCCATATTATTTTACACAAACTCCAATCTTTCGGATTCATAATCTCTTTTTCTCATCTCAAGTGGCTGTGCTAAAATATTTCTATTTTCCGAACAAAAAAACTCATCAATTTTAATTTGTAAACAAAATTTAATACCTCATTAAAACACAAAACTATCAGATTTAGCTAGATATTTATCACAATGTTTACATTGTTTCCAAAGCTACCTGGATAATTTCTCAGTGGTATTGTTCGCGTACATTAATCATTTTCGCAGGTAAAGTGACTACCAGGAAGCTTTCTATGTGACAGGGTTAATGCTGTATTAGACACCGCAAGCCGCTGCCAATCATCTGTATCATATTTCAAATATTTCATGCAAAACTTGTCACATGACGATACAGCCTTGATACAGCCTCCGTCAGGACAAAAGAATTTAAAATTAGCTTTCCTTTGTCCCAATTTTTACCTTTTAAAATCTGTCATATCCTTTTTTATCATTTGATTTAAAACCGATAATGTTAGGTTGTTTTCCCAGTGCATATGTACTTTAAATTTCTAAGAAATAAAATCACTACTATACCTTACAATTTATGTACCATTAACCTGCTGGCAGCGCATGAATATACCTATGTGACCATTGCACAATCATGAATATACCTATATGACCATGCAGTGCAGACCAAGATCTGCCAGCACATCCCTGCTATCTGATCATGGTTTGCACTGTTCGCTATTCAGTCAATATTTAATTTGTAATTTTTCCTTAAAATGATGAATGATTCAAATTGGACAAGTCCATTTAAGCTATTTTATGGCAAGGGTTAATCAGACAACAAATTAATGACTTGTGGGCATTGCCTTTTAGTATCTGACTATAACAAAGCTAAATGAGTTCTTTTTTCAAGATCTTTATTTTTCTTTAGTTTCAGGGAACTTCTTTAGACAATTTGACCTGCTTTATTAAATATTGGATAATGTGCTACGTATTTTCTTCCAACGGCCTAAATGCTTATCATTTGGCAGCTATCATTAATAACCCATTAGAGAATGTATCTAATTAAAGCCATGGTCCAGAAATAGAAATAATTATAGCATTTTGTTATCTCATTGTAAGACTGTTGCAAATGTGTATAAACAATAGAAGAGGTACATCAGTCTAGCATTTACAAAAACATAAAATTATTGTGTGGAAATCAGATTCTGTCATCAGTTTGTTTCCTTTCCTGGAATTTTTTTTTCTGTATTTCCTGGAACAGGTTCAAGCAGTGCATTTTGAAAATAACATAAGCACAGTCATTGAGTTGCATTCAATTCGTTTAACAATTTATGTCAATACTGTTTTTTTGATTTTAGTTTTAACATATTATATTTATACAGTTTACTTGGTTGTTTAAATAAGTATTCTTTTGTTTTGTTTGATTTTACAGCACACCAACACAATTTAGGTCATATGCACCAAAACACGAAAAATGATTTTTGGCTAACCTTGTGTGTTAAAGCAACATCAGGAGTCAAAACTACCTCACCTGCTGGAGCTAAGAGATGTAAAGACTCCAGTTTTTCCAACCCTCTAACAATCACGCATGGATAAACAGCAGCTGCAATTCTGATGCATGAAACCCTTAAAGGCAACCCCCTGACACAAAGATATTGTTACTTACTTTATATAGCTAAAGTCCTCATTCTGAATCTTTTCAGAACTGGTGTTATGTTGTAACCCAAGTAGGGCTCAAACTTATAAACCATGGGTTGACGTGCAGCCAGACACTTTAAACATAAGGTCAATGCTTCGCACATGTAGAGTCTTATCAGACTGCACAGACATGCGAGTTATCTTTGCAAATCATTATTAGTCTGGTATAAACATATTTTTTAATTAGGCTCGATCTTCTTTTAGCTTGATCATTGCGATGAAAGCTTAAAAAGTTTATATGATAGCACTGTCACATCGGGCGCCAGTTTTAGTGTTATAACAGGAAGCACAGTTGTGACCCGAGATGTGACTTGAACCTATAATACCTGGGTTGAGAGGCAGACACCTTAATGCCAAGGCCATCGTTTCCTTGTTTTTAAGTCATTTTTGCTCTTAGAATTTATAGATAAAAATTCATCTTGACTTTATATTTTATAACCTCTTGGCTGTATTTTACTCCGACTACCACTGAATGAAAAGTAAACATGCCATATGATTATTTAGGAATATAATAAAGATATTTTATTGCCTTCCTCAATTAAGTTGTATCATGTAAACGGCACATTTCATAATTTGATAATTTATAGAACCACTTTATTAATGCTGTGCATATTTGAACAAAGTGCAACTGTATTTCATCGTCATAAAACTTCGTTTTTATAAATATCAATGGCTATGCAGTTTTGGGCCTTAATACAGTGTAATATATGTAACGATTTCAATAAAAAATTTCAAATTTGGTTTTCCTTATTATTCAGTAATCTACTACAGGAGACATTTATTTGTCCCCTATCTGGTCAAAATATATTATAAAGGTGAATGAACGGAAGACAAATAAATCGATTAAACGTAAAATATTGCTGCAGCGAAGAATAAATCCTAAAAATAATTTGGTAACTGACCCTCATCTGCGCGGAAGCAAATTTCATAAAGAAGACGATGCATGGAATAATTGAGATAATATCTCGGATTGCATCCAATTGAAGTTTCTATTGATCAAACATTACAGGGATGATATTGCAAAATTTCCCAGTAAATTGATATATTGATTCCATTATACTTCTTTGACATGCTTACATAACCTAGTTCATCTAAGTTCGTTCAACGAACCGCGACACCTGCATCCAGGTTATGTTAAATGTCAAACAAATTAGTGCCAGCTCGATACCGATTGTTCTACTTGTTTATAGGCAAATTATCTGCGGAGATCTATATCCGATCTTCTTTTTTTTTGTCATTCTAGTAACATGTTTATGTGTAAAAAAAACCCCAAATCACTGAAAAATCTTCAGATATTTTTTCGAGAGAAAAAGAAAATTATGGTTGATCCGACCTTAAAAAATGATGTTTTGTAGGAAGTTCAGTTTAACTACCTTTGACAAAATCTTACTAGCAAAAGGTTAAGAGTTACTGCCCCTGTTAGATTTTTTAATCTTTTTCAAGGTGAAAAAAAAAATGTTTATAACTTGTATAACTGCAGTATGTTTTACATTATTAATACAAAAACATAGCACCAAAAATGTTAAAAGATTTATTTTGACCTGGATCTGGGGTTGAACTTACTCTTAGGGATTCAATTAAAAATTTTTTCATTTACTGGTTTTCTGTACAATTACTACTATGTTACTATATAAAGCTATTAACTTTGTGTAAGTATCACACAAAGTTTCCAGCCATCATTTCTTTTGACATTTTCCCCCATAAAAAGCATGCTAGTTTATTAAAGTTTAAACTCAACATGATATTTGTTGAGTTACAAAACACGAAGGGCTTCTGTATGAAGTCCTAACACATGGTAACCAAGGGAAACCTTAAGCATATTAGATAATTTATAGAAATTAGAAAAAGATGGCTGTATTGATTAAATTATGGTTATCAGGAATTATAGGGGTACTCACTATAAAAATTTAAATAGCCTTTGAAAATTTCAGTGTAGGCAGCGGTAAAAGCACTCCTAGAGTGAACTTTATTTATCATGCTTTGGCAAAAGGATCTTGCAGTAAATTCTTATAAAGAAGCTTGTGACTCTGCCTTTCCCTTGAGCTTACACTGAGCATTTTTCAGAGTAACTTCAGATTGACTGATTTTATTATTTATCACTGAACAAAGCCGGCAGAAAGTTCTACAGTAGCCAGTGTTTTCATCAGCCACTAGAAAGTAACAAGATTTATACGGTCTAAAATCATTTTCAGTTACCATGGAGTTACCTACCCCTGAGAATCTTGTGAGCCAGAGAGATCTTGGTCTGTGACGTCCATCAATCCCATACTGCTTGTGGTGTTGGGCCGCGACATTTCCCGCTCGATAAGTTCGTACCCCGATTCTTGAACTGGCAGCAACTGCCGTCCTAGTACCCTGTAATATACATGTATTTAATAATATAATGTCACATCTGGAGCATGTGCCGATGATGTGGCATATAAATTACAAGTACCAAAACAATTCTAACTGGGTGCATATCCTATACAACAATCTTTTGAAAAAATCAAAAATGTGTTTTTTTTAAAAAAAAAAAGAGCTTTAATTTCATATCTCATTGGTGGCGTTTTCTAGAATTTTTCTTTCAATTTCATGGAAATGTCTATTAATAGAAGAAAACAAATGAAGCACCTAACAAGTAATTACATACAATTCTGATTAACAGTGATAAAGAAGCTAACTTCTGAAGCATTAGGAAATTACTTGATCACAATCATCAAAAGAAAATCACACAAGATGTGGTTGTTGTTTTCCTTTCTTAGCAACTATATCTATATATATCTATGAAAAAGACTATAAAAAGACATAATGCCAGGTGCATCAATAATGTACCACAGATCCCCTATTCTGATTTTTCATGTGTAAACCCCAGTGGACACAAAGTTTTGTCAGATATCAGAAAACAATTATTGATATATAATTCAGCTTGCATGTCTGACTGAATCAAAGTGTATTACTTTGATATATTTCAGGGTGAACTTAGAGGTATTCGCATGCCATTAATGACTAACTTATTTTCATTCTTTTGTTCTTAGTGATTGAAGATGCTATTTCGTGACAGAAGTTTTCTGAAATGAAAGCCACTGTAAGTGGTTTTTCTTCCCATTAGGCTTATGTTTAGCAATGCAAATAGACCATTTCTCTTTGCAATTTGCATGCACATATTGGTTTATTGGAAGTCAAAGAGAAAATTTCGATTTACAATTTAAGTGCATATCCTGGTTTATGTAGTAGTCAAATAGACAATGATTTCTTTTTATGCATGATACTGGCTTTATCCTAGCCCAATAGTCTATGGTTATTTTAATTTAAGCTTGTTGATAGCCAAATACACAATTTTTCTTTTTTCATAGGATAACTGAGCCAAATATACCATAGTCCTTTATTGATTGGCTTAACCAATTCTTCTTTATCCAAATAACCCAACTGTTCTTTCTGACTGGCTTACTGTAATCAAAATAGTTAACTGCCCATTCTGACTGGCTAATTGGCATTCAAATTTGTTCTTTTTGACTGATTTATTGATATCAAAATAGCCAATTTTCTTTCTGACTGGCCTACTGTTATCTAAATAGCCAGTTGTTCTTCTTGACTGGCTAATTGGTATCCAAATAACCAATTTGTTCTTTCTGACTGGCTAACTGGTATCCAAATAACCATTTTGTTCTTTCTAACTGGCTAATTGGTATCCATATAACCATTTTGTTCTTCCTGACTGGCTAATTGGTATTCAAATTGGCAATTGTTCTTTCTGACTGGTCAATTGGTATCAAAATAACCATTTTACTCTTTCTGACTGGCTAATTGGTATCTAAATAGGCAAGAGTTCTTTTTGCCTGGCCTATTTTCATCCAAATAGCCAATTGTTCTTTCTGACTGGTCTATTGGTATCCAAAAAGGCAATTGTTCTTTTTGACTGGTTTATTGTCATCCAAATTGCCAATTTTTCTTTTTGACTGGTTTATTGTCATCCAAATTGCCAATTTTTCTTTTTGACTGGTTTATATGATTTATTTCTTTCAGTTGATAATCATTTAACATGTTCTTAAACCATTTCTTAAACATTATAAAGCTATTGTTTGCTCGCTTTCTAAAGAAGGAAAAATTAATTCATTTCTGAGACATAAATTATTAGTGTGCCTTTAATATGACCAGTCAATATGTATAGCATGTGGTAAGCCTACACCAAAGATGGCTCTAGCCTTGTCTTATAACAACTGGAGCACTCAAAGAGACTGTCATACCGTAAGTGAGGGAAGAGGGAACCCCATTCTTGGCATTCTTTGAAGATGTATTCTGCCTGATTACGACGCTCTATAATACCGCGTCTATCTCGTCAAACAGATTCTGTACCGTCTTTGCTGCCTGTCTGTCAAACTCCTGAAACAAGATTTTTTTAAAAAAATTATTATAATATAACCTTTCTAAATACATAAATATAATGTAACAAAACTATTCTTGGAAAAGTAAAATCATGCTGAAAAATATCAATTAACTAATAGCGTTAGTTTTACAAGAATTTTTTTTTTTCAAATGCTTTAACAGGATGCAACATGCAACAGGATGCAACATGTCTAAATGCACCTCGGAGGTATAAGATGACACTTTTGAGTGATGATCTGTTCGGACTACACACATGTGGGTCGAGCTTGATACTACCTGTGTCATTGGTTTTGTTAATATAAACTAGTCAATTGGAACACTGGCTCCAGTGGGTAATATTCATATTCTCCCCATCGGGGAAATAGTGGTGACATTGACTTTTGTGTCCTAAAATTCTCTGTTAAATACCCTACCCTGTGGGGGAGAGTCATAAATGTTTAATTCCCAATTCATTTCTTATGCTATTCACCACACTGCAAAGGGTCATGCTTTCAAATGACTGGTGCATTTTAGTTGCACTCAAGGGCTAATTGATAGTACTAACGTTAAAAACTGCAGGTTCAAAATCTTGTATGCAAGTTAAATAATAATTTAGGAATCTGAAAAGATGCCTTAAATTGTATATCATTTGAAGGTGACAGGTCTATTCAATTTCTTTAAATGAAAAAATCCATTACATTCAATGAAATTTCAATACTAACTGATAATTTTTTAAATTGTATGGCCACTAAAGAGGACTATTAATTTTATAAGTAATGCGTACTACACCATGAAATTCTGCCCTATATAATGAATAAAGATGCATAAAATTGAACATTTAAGTTCATTCATAACCATTTATTGTATATTTTAATATTTTCAACACTCACAAGCAATGCGAGATTTTGTATTTTTGTCAAATTATACCATCAAAAATAAATGACAATTTAATCAAAAATATCATTCTAAAAATCATCTTTATGATGTTTCATGAAAATACGAAAATAAAACATATACATTTAATTATGTCAGAATTTATTTTGTATATATTTATTATTTTTGATTGGAACATGTATCTAGTAAATTACATTTTCATAAAAAAATATTATTTTTTCCTTTTTATACTGTGCAACTTCACAACTCTTAAATAAAAATACGAGAATAAATATGTCTAAAAATTCAAGATTAAAAACAAACAAAAAAACACATTAAAACTCTGAACATTCTTTTTGAATGAATTAAAAGAACAACAATATAATAAATAATTGTATATTTTTCAAGGAGTGACTTACTAAATGACTTAAAAAAGGTAAAAAAAGTTACGATCAAGTTCAAAAGGATCTACTTGGCAATAAAATAAAAAAATATTAAAAATAAATATTTCAATCCTGATATGAAATATCATATTTTGAAGGATAGAACCATATTATTTATTTGCTTTTCTCCAAGGGTAACTGTATGGTGACTGCCTAGAAAATCTATTTATAGAATTCTAATCATTTGATTTTCCTTGTTTTTATAGGATGATGTAACACTGTCACCAAGCATAACAACACTGGGGGAAAAAAGTTTTAGGAGTATTACAATGAACCCTTTGTATTTTCTATTGAAATTAATATGATAATGTTATTTCTATCACTTAAAGCAAAATGCAATAATACTGCAAATTCAATAATGAAAATGCAATTACCGGTATCTTGAATTTCAGTATATAAGGCTTGGTAATTCTATATCAAGGAAATATCCTAAAAAAAAACTTGTCTGTGCATTATAGTACTTCAAGGAAAATTTATTGTATGATAAAATGATAAATAAACAAAATAATGTATGAACTAAAAATAAATTTGCTATAAAAAATACATTATTCATAAAAATCTGACAGTACACGAGATACGACTTGTAAAAATTGCTGTAAAAATTATTGTTCATTTTTTAAAAAAATATCTTACGATATGTGAATTATGACTAATAATAAAAAAATAAATTTTTAAGTTTATCTATTGTCAACCTAAAAACATTTACATAGAAAATCATTTAAACAAATTTATGAAGTAAAATTTCACTAAATTTTTTTTTACAACCATTTAATATGATCAACAAAATATGATTTTCACTCTTACAATCTCACAAAAAATAAGTTCAATGTATTGACACTCCCAAATAAAAACAAACTGATTTACAATAAAACCATTAACAACATAATATTTTGCAACCTGATTATATAAAAAAAATTGCCATTCATAGTAACTTGTTACTAACTATATATCACTTTAAAAACAAATAAATGGTATAAAAGCACAATAATAATATATCATATTCATTTTCTGCTATCTATAATGTATGAGAAATGCAGGGGAAAAAAAATCTAAATAAAGCATCATTCACCATACTGACATGTCAAAATATGGGTGTCCTAGAGGTATAAAATAATAATCCTCTTTGTTTGCAAGTATAGACAGATAGCTTAACCAATCAATGAAATCAAAATTCAGATACTCAATTTAGCATCGCATTTACGCGGCTTGGGAAATCTATTTTCTATTAAAAAGTAATGCTGGTAGTATGAACGGCAACAGACTGGTCGTGTTTTTGTAGCAACAAGAATAACATTCTATCGTAAACTGATTAAATCCCATAAAGATGAGCGCTGTGTCGAGTGGAGCGTAAACTTGTCCCAAGGTCTCGTAATCGTACAAATTCGTGACTAATAAAATGTAGGCAATACGATTCGTCTGATGAACTATTGTAAAATGAGGGGAAAAAGGCAAAGCTACTGAGCCTACGCCCTCATTGTGAACTTCAATCAAATGACGTGAAATATTCATTATCATAAAAGAAAATACAGAGAAAAGAATTTTTTTACATTAGATTCTATTTTTTTTTTTTTTTTGATTTGCATATTTGCGGTAATTAAGTATAGATTTTTGTATGGAACATTCCAACCATTATTAAAAAATTGATATTGATATCTCCTCAGCCAATCTGATCAATCATGAATAAAAAATATTTCTGTAATCATGTACAGATACAGTTTATTTATCAATACACTGTAAAAGCATACCAAATTCTGTACGGTTGCGCAGGTTGAGCAATTTGTGCGAAGTTCAAAGGTAAAATCTGATTCTGATGGTACGACAGCTATTAAACATTAAAGCTATGCGCGTTCGCATGTTACAAAACATTTGAAGTTTAAAGCTCTCGCTAGCTAACTATTAATTTCATCAGGATTCATCACGTCGAGTAGCTTAAAAAACAATTTTTCCGTCAATATAACATTTATAAAAAAAAACAGATTTCCCGTAAATTTTCTAATTTTCGAAAACCAGCAGGTGTTATAGAGAAATGAAACTGTTTATGTTGAAATTTCGTGCACCTATCTCATTATGTATAAAATGATGTAGCAGCTCTGAGGTCATATAATTTAATAACGTTACTTAAATTTACCCCCAAAAAGGCAGAATGATGTTAGCTGATTTATTTAGCCTCATTTCACATTCCTCGCATTTTACAAAAAATTGTTAAAATACCAAAGAATTTAATTTGAACCGATGTTCACAAAATTTATTTCGATTTACTTAAGAAGTTTTTTCAGAATTGAACGGTTGGGTTGGCATGATAATTTCACCGTTTTCAAGCCTTTTTTATATATATTATAGTTCAGTTTTGCACATTATTTAATTCAACTATATATATATTAGTCTAAAATTCTTCCTGTTTACCAAAGGAGACCAACAATTCACGATTTGCTTGGCAACAGCGAAACCTTGTTAAGAGCATGACTGTGGGATGAGTAAATCATGATGATAAATAAGTATTATTTGGAACAAAATACTTAAAGAATTAGTTGGAAACTGCATGACTACGTAATTTTGATCATTGAGATGCAAAAGTGTGTTATAATATTTATTTCTTTCAGTAAAATATGTTTCAATCACCTGAAATAAATTTAACTAAACACTTTTTAAGAAAATTTTCTTTTATGACTCAAATAACCCCATATCATCAAAATAATGCCAGTGACTGAATTAAATAATTTCAGAAAAAACACACAGCAATTAACATAGAATGGCTTTTTTTTTGACATTCCTGGACTGCCAGTTCAGTTCCTTATCTAGTTAACCTTACATGTGACACCACCTTATATAAAATTATTAACACGTTAGCAAATATTGTAATTATATGTACTTTAACTAATGATGATTTTTTATGTAAAAATTGGTATTCAACTTCTTGGTAAAACCACCATCAATTAATTCATTCCCTACATGTAGCTAAATCTTGATATAAATTCTTCCTAAGTGTTCGGATAAAAAAAAAAATGCCTTTGAGTAAATCATGTAGGTGTGTAGTCGATGTGATATGACATCAGAATCTTTAACCACTCAGCAAAGAAGGCATTTGAGAAAATACAGCTAAACTTTGTTCGCTCAAACTTGGATAGCTTGAATACCTCCCTTCGCTCAAACTTATTGCCCAGTCCTGGCGAATTCCTTTATAATATATACCAAAGATCGCTTGAATAAAAAAATGTAGTTAAATACATGTACTAAACTATAGAAAACAAAACACAAGATAAAAACCGCCATGAACTTACATCCCAAGAGTATTGTGAATCTACGCTACTTCGTTCGGTAGTATTTCCGGTACCCCATATATCTCCCTGTACAATAGATGGACTAGAGCTAGCTATTTCGCCCTCAGTGATGGTTGGTGATGATCGATTACTACTCAATGGCGTTTCTTGAAAACTAAAAAAAAACAAAAAAACAAGCTTTTCATGAAATTGATGGAAAATATCAGTGATCTAAAATTTATTTTACACTTTGATTGCTATTTTCATAAATAATTGAAAGCATGATCACTTTCAAAAATTGATGTCAACGGAGGCAATTTTACTTAATTGAGGGTGATGTACATTATCTTTTCAAGGGTGAACAGTCTGTTCTATTACCCTTAGTCAGGAATGTGATATTTATTTCTTCATTATTCCATCAGTTTTTAACCAGGAGGTAGCCGATTTTTAACAGAATAACTAACATGACTGCTCAAGAACCAAGTAGAATTTTTCTACTTGCAATGTTGGAAAATTGATATCTCACCCGACCTTCGGTCTCGCCTTTGCTCGTAGCAAAATACAAAGCCTCAGAAAGCTACTACAACATAATATTCCGTATTTATGGATATTTACCCTCTGATATCATGTTAGGCTATATTTATAGTAAATAAAGCATGTGAGGCATAATTAACTTTCAATCTTTCTATGATCTACCTATTTTAAATAGCTTGAGGTAAAGCTGTAACATTAAATTTTGATTATACAGAAATTATTCTGGTTGCATTTTTTTTGGACTTCAATGTCCTATAAAATATGAATGTTAAATATCACTGAAAATCAAATCAACTTGAATATTTCTCAATGCTGTTTTAAATATTATACAATTATAAACTATTTCAACTTTTATAGCGTAATATTGCAAGATTGAAATAATTTACCAAATGTAATATAGTAACACATTAAGGTAACAATAAATAAAAACGTGATAATGAATTTTTTAAAAAGGCTTTTATAGCTTAAAATCAAACATTTACTTGTAAAAATGCTTTTCAGGAAGACACCCTTTGATGTCTTATATAAATGCATAATTTTCAGCAGAAGACACTGAACTTAAGCAGACCCAAGTTTTGTAGGCCTTAAAAAATTCAAAATTTGCACGTCCCAAAATTCAAACATAGGTAATTTGACATTGCCTATATAGCTATAGAAAGTTAAAAAGGTCAACAAACATTAAACCTTTGGCAGCACTGAGTTCTGGCCGACAACATGATGATAAAAGCAACTTACTTTGATATAGCTTCAACAATTTTGTTGGAGAAATCATGTGGCAAGCTTTGGGGGTCGACAATTTCTAAGGAACTTGTCGGGTGTTCATCTAACGTTACTCTCGATAAACCGCGTCTGAAAATATAGAATGAAGTAAATATAGAAAACGAGTCACTATATAAGTATATGTGTACACGTACCATGTATATACAGTAGTACGCTGGTTTCTGGATTACACCTGTCCTGTGAAATATACTTTATCCCACAAAAGTGATCGAAAATATGCTAAATTCTATGAGCAGGCCACAATTTTTATACTCACCCTGATGCAATTCTACTAGTTAATATGAGCAAACACATGGAATTCCCAATCCCTCTCAATGTATTATCATTCATTGTACATCACTTAAAGTGAAAATATTACCGATATTTTTCAAACAGCTTAAAATGAAATGAAAATTGATATATTCAGTTTTTGAAGGCAACATATCATCATATTATTACAGCTTGTGCTATAAGTATATGCTTTTATGTATGTTTGAATTTTTTTTTTCATTCTGAATGAGATATTACTATTATCTTAATTTTATAATACATGTATAACATTGTACAATAATTATTATGAAGTCATTATTTTTTTTACATACAGTAACAGTGTCTTCCAAGTCAATATCTAATGAATAATTCAGTGACCTTTTTGTACTGGTAGACAAGAACTCTACAAAAATTATATAATGTAAAACTTTGCAACAACAAAAATGAAAAGGAAAGAAAGACAATAATCAAGCCGTGAATATAAAAGGGTTTATACTGTTTCGGTCCTTTTGCAAAAGGAAGCTTCTTTTATCACAGGTTTAACTATATTGTAATTCTTCTACTTTTTAACTAGTATTATAACAAAAAAATCAATCTCTGAAATCTACCAAAGGATAATTTTCTTCTCAAAAGCATGATAGTTTGCTTTCAGTTTATCAATTTCATAACAAGTGCTTTCTTCTCTGTTTTCTTTGCTATAATGACTGATTTGGTGAAACTAAATACTATTTAACGTATAGAAGAAAAGTTATTTACTCTCACATCATATCATATCATTGTTGATTCAAAATTTTCACATTCGCCTCATATTTCTTCATCGGTATACAATAAATTATGTAGTCTATTATGAAATAATTATACAGTAACTACTGCATTCTGGGAAGCTTCGAGCATAATTTTCTTTTCACTAAATTGGTTTCAATTTAAGTTTTGATGTTTTTAGATATTATTGTAAGAAAAGGTCTGTTTTGTCTCAGGATCGCTTTTATTTTTGTTTTTCAAAATCTTTTTAATTTTGATGTCCTGTTAAAGTTTACAAAAAAAAAGTAACTCATACTGGCCAGCGACTTCAACCATCTTTTGCTTTTTGACATTCAGTATATTTAATACAACCATCTTTTGCTTTTTGGCCTTCAGTATATTTAATACAACCATCTTTTGCTTTTTGACATTCAGTATATTTAATACAACCATCTTTTGCTTTTTGACATTCAGTATATTTAATACAACCATCTTTTGCCCTTCAGTATATTTAATACAACCATCTTTTGCTTTTTGACATTCAGTATATTTAATACAACCATCTTTTGCTTTTTGACATTCAGTATAATTATTTAATACAACAATTTTTTGCTTTTGACATTCAGTATATTTAATATAAGGATTAAGTATTTTGTATGGAGGTCAAAATACTACTTTGTTTACATTTTGCTACTTTTATGACAAATTATTTCACATTCAGCACTACTATCTTCAGGTGATAAACAACTTTTATACTCTTAAAGCATCATTTAAACGTTATAAAACTCATGTTTGCCAGCCTTCTAAAGAAGCACAAATTTATTTGTTACTGAGACATATTTTGCCTTTAAATAAACTTCTCTTCTTCTTTCATGTCTTTCAATATCTTACATGTAATTCCTATCCTGCCCTTACAGTTTACTTAAAAGCAACCCTTTTTTGAACATAGAAAAAAAATAAAACCTTTCAAAAAAAGAAAACTGACAACTTTTATAATTGGAAAAATACATCTTAAAAACTAGAAATGTGTCATCATGCCACGGATGCCCCCGCATGCAGCCAAAATTTCAGATGGTGCTTTAATTATTTTTTTCATTTTAAGTTCAAAGCCCTTAAAACTTTTCAATGTTAACACAAACTATTTCCATACAATGTTCAAAGCACTGAAATTATTCAGTCTTAACCTTTTAGAAATAGCATATTGCATATTTGTAGCCAAAATAATGGCTAAAAGAATGAGTGGTGAAACTGAAAGTTCAAAATTTTTCCAACATTCAGGAAAGATAAGTTTGTTCAAAATCATTGAACCACGACCAAGTTCAAACTGGAACTGCTTATTCCTAAGATGTATCTATATTATTTTCAAAGTGAAAGAGACATAACTCTGCAAAAAAATCATCAAACCATGACCAAATTCGAACTTGACCTGCCCATTCCTTTGACATATCCATATGTCAAATTAAAGTTGAATATGTGACACTATTGGGTAGATAAGGAACAGAAACTGTCAATTTCATATTATTTTCAAAGTGGTAGGGGCATTACTCTGCCAAAAATCATTGAACCATGACCAAATTTGAACTTGACCTGGGCATTCCAAAAACATATCCATATGTCAAATTTGAGTTGAATGTGTTGTACCATTGGAGAGATAATAAACGGAAACTGAAAATTTCATATTACTTTCAAAGTGAAAGGGGCATAACTCTGCAAAAATCATTGAACCATGACCAAATTTGAACTTGACCTGCGCATTCCTTTGACGCATCCATATGTCACGTTTGAGTTGAATGTGTTGTACCTTGAGGGAGATAATGAACGGAAACTGAAAATTTCATATTATTTTCAAAGTAAAAGGGGCATAACTCTCCCAAAAATCATCGAACCATGACCAAATTCGAACTTGACCTGTATTTTTTCATGACATATCAATATGTCAAGTTTGAGTTGATTGTGTTGTACCATTGGGGAGATAATGAACGGAAACTGAAAATTTTATATTATTTTCAAAGTAAAAGGGGCATAACTCTGCCAAAAATTATCGAACCATAACCAAATTCGAACTTGACCTGTATTTTCTCATGACATATCCATGTGTCAAGTTTGAATTGAATGTGTCCAACCGTTCTTAAGATAATGAACGGAAACTGAAATTTCATATTATTTTCAAAGTAAAAGGGGCATAACTCTGCCAAAAATTATCGAACCATGACCAAATTCGAACTTGACCTGTATTTTCTCATGACATATCCATATGTCAAATTTGAGTTGAATATGTCTAACCGTTCTTAAGATAATGAACGGAAACTGATGATGACGGAATGACAGAATGACGGAAGGACGGAAGGACGGAAGGATGGAAGGACGGAATGACGGAACAGGGTAACACTATATGCCCCGGCCATTACATGGCGGGGGCATAAAAATAAATAAATAAAATCACAGTTTTTGTCAAACTTATTGTCTTTGTAAAATATACCTAATTTGATACCCCTTAAGATATTTTTAATAATGTTTCAAAACTGTAAAATATTAATATATAAATAGATATATATTACATTATAAATTGTCCACTTAACAATATTTCACACTAAAACATCATTAAAATCTCTTGAAAATATTTTAAAATAAGTTCAACAATTGGTCTCTGTATGAAAAGGTCACCCAGGTCAGATAAATGTGAAAATATTTTCAAATTTTACGAAAAAGTGTGACCTATGAATCTTTAACGGTATTTCAATCACTTAAACTTTTATCAAAGTTGAAATTAGAAACCACACCCTGTATTAATAAGATCATAAAAATAAATCGGTCAATAATGATTCTACTTCATCAAGAAAATCACACTTTTCACCTAAACAGACGAGCCATTGTAAGAATTAACCTATAGATCAACGTTATATATAGGTAATAAACACTGCAAGTTTTATTGCACAACTAAATGACTTTTTGACAGACTTTCGGCCAAACAATGGAGACTAGTCAGTATTGAAATACAGTCCAACTTTCAACCTAAAAATCAAATGAAATGACAAAGGTCGTACTGACATTGTGTAGGTCATGGCGACTTCCCAGATTTACTGTCCGAAAGAAGAAATGACTGATGCACCCCCCCCCCCCCCCCCAACTGTGCATTATTAAGTTAAGAAGAACACAACTAATCACAACCACTGACCATCTGTAAACTAAAGTATAGATAGCTAAGTGCTTGAAATTAGCCACTTAAATCTGACCACTCTAAAGCCACTAAAGCTCCTGTAACTGAGACTGAGTCCTGGCAAGCATTTGACTAACATTCCGTAAGTTTAGTGTATCTTTTCACGTAAATTTGGACTTTCGCAAAACGTAAATTTACGTTAGTTGTGTTTCACTAAACAGAACTTGCAATTTCACGCCAGCAGTACTAAGTGAGCGTAACTTTACGTTTAAACCTATGCAAATGCGTGGCTAAGAAAGTTTAGTGAAACGCAATTAAAACGTAAGTTTTGCTTAAGCAAAAAGTTACGTTCAAATTGGAGTTACGATAAGGTATTAGTATGTTAGTGAAACGCACCCCTGTTCTTTTTATAGGGAATGGAAACCGTAAGTATGTAAAAAAAGAACTTATTTCATGTTACATTAATGTTTTTAAATTTAATGTACAATCAAATTCAATTAAATTTTGTCATTTCATGACAGAATCAAGAGTTTCATTCAATGAAAATGAAGAACATTCTTATATATCCAATACTTAGAAGAAGGGATTTTATGTCAAAATTAAAAGGAAAAATTTATCATCTGTGTCAAACAAAAATCAACATAATTATCGCTAACAAAAAGGAACGTAAATTTGTTTCTGGTGTTCCGGGTGCGGTGATAATTTACATGAAAATACAATTATTAGTTCAGCGATGTATTTTTGCAATTGATCAAATCATCTTTTCACCACAAAATATTTTGAGTTAAATGTCGTAAGTTTATCAACATCATTCAACAAGGGGCTATATATTTTCATTACAAGAATATTAATCATTTTAAAAACTCTAATTTCTAATCAATTCATATAAGTATATAATGAAATCTGTAAGCTTATGTCAATTATTTTTACTAATTTTATTAAATCTTAAAACATTGTTCATTCACAAAAACACAAACAATACTCAATAATTGTTACTTAACTCTTAATTTATTGCACACCGGATATTTCCTTTTCCCATTTACTTTAGATTTTATTCTTGAATGTTTAATGTACCAATTTTGTTTTGTACCACTTTCTTTTTATTCTTTGTTTTGTTTCAGGTTTTTATTCATTATTTAAAACAGTTTTGTTTTTATTAATTTTCTTATTACAAAATGTAACAGTTTTGTTTTTATTCACTATTTTGTTCGAGCTTTCTTTTAAAACATTGTTTAATACTTAAATCATTGTTTAATACAAACAGGTTTGGTTTTAATTCATTACCTTGTACCCATTTTGTTTTTATTCTTTGTTTTCAATCTTATGGTTTTGTACATCTATTTTTTTATTCTTTATTTTGTACCACTTAATTGTTTTTATTCACAAGTTTACTACAATTTTGTTTCTATTTACAATTTTTGCACCAGTTAAAGTGTTTTTATTCACTACTTTGTACCACCTAAATTGTTTTATCATTATTTTGTACCTTTTTTAAATTAATTTATTATTTTGTTTCCGTTTTGTTTTTATTAGTTATATTAAACCCGTTTTGTTTTTATTCATTCCTTTGTACCTGTTTTTTTTTTTATTCATTCTTTTGTACCAGTGTTTTGTTTCAATTCATTTTTTTAGACCAGTTTTGTTTTTAATTCATTGTTTTATACCAGTTTTTTTTATTCATTATTTTGTACCAGTTTTGTTTTAATTTCATTATTTTGTACCCCTTTGTTTTGGGTTTTTATTATTTTGTACCAGTTTTGTTTCAATTCATTAATTTGTACCAGTTCTGTTTTTATTCATTATTTTGTACCAGTTTTCTTTTCTTTTTTTACAATGTACATAGGTACATGGAAACACTGTAAATTTGGTCTATACAGAAATATATCAAAATTATAAGAAGTAAAAATATATCACAAAAAATATAAAAAAAAATCTTAAACTGCCTTTTATGTGCTCAAGTTCTACAAGTGACTTAAAAATATAGTAGCTTGTCATTTTTTATGAAAATGTGTAAAGTAATTTTCTTTAAAATATAAACATGACATTGTTTAATATAAATTGACTTGAAATACGAGAACATACTTTTTTTTTGTCATAAAGATAGAGTGTACTATTTCATTGACTTATGTTGTAAAATTCCTTAACCTTTTCTTAAAAACATTTTATTCAGGTGTTTGTTAAAAGGTTGTTTTGATAGATTTAAATTTATAAATAATTTTTTTTTTAAAATCTCCCCAACAAAAGTTAAAACATCAGTATAGAAATGTTGCCCTAAAAATATTTTTGTTCACATAAATAAACCCTAAAATGCTTTTCTTTTGACAGATCAGACAGACATTTCACCACAAACATGATCAGCACAAATTGTTGTCATGACAACCCTTGTAATTAAAAAAAAACAATACAGTACATACCTTTGATGAAATTTTGAATATTCTAAAAATTCATGAGATTCCAAATATTGGAGACTGAGATCTAAAGAGTTTGTTTTCCTATGATTAAATCCCACAACCTCGACATCTAAGTTCGAGCATTCCGGGGAATGTCCGTATTTTTTCCTAACTAAATCCTGAGGAGATTCTTTACATCTACGAACATGAGAATTTTGATTTTGCGCTCGTCTTGGCACATTATGTGAAGATAATTCTTCAAACATTAATTGAGATCCATGAGAATATTTTTGAGTTTCATCCTGGGACGGTGAGAATCTTTGATGAATTTTAGCACCCATACAAACAAAGGCTGTGGCAAGATTGTATTTCTGACCCTGAATACGTAACTGATAATCTCGGCTATATATACGATTCGTGGAAGTGTTAATACTTCCAGAACTAGAAAATGACCGCTCCCTCTCCCGTTTCTTGCGGCCCGGCCCCGGGCCTTGTGAGTTTGAGCCTACATTAAGGCCAGGCGGAATGGGTGGCCTGGACGCCACTTCTGTGCCCATTAGATTTAACAACTAAAATACTTAGTTTAACATTTCTTTAAATCATCGTATCATTTTAAAACACAATACAACTGATATTCGTTATCCATAGCAACCTATCTACTGATTACAAAGCAAAACCTAAACAAAATTATCTCTTTCCTGGAATCACAATTAGCATCCCTGAGAAGGCTATTCTATGTTAACCATTAAAACCTTATCACACAATGAATATTTCTGAGTAACAGTCACTTTATTTGTGTAATTCCCTGATAAAACAAAACATTCCACACTAATGCTCTGACAATCTTCCGAATTAATCAAACAAGTCAATAAACTCCATCAATAATAATAATCATGTACTTCATAGAGCAGAAGAATAGGTCATTGACATTTTTTCACAAAAATGACCAAAAAAAATTTTCATAAAAATACGACACATTTACGCCTTTATTTGAGCATGGTCACTTATATAAATAAAATGCACGTAATGTTCAGCAAAAGTCAGACCATCGTAAGCTGACCAGTAAAGTCTTATCATTTGAAACAGAAATTGTGTAAATATCCTTGTATACTCATCGCAAACATTGTCCAAATATCCTAACGACCCTGTACCAATATAAACGTATCAGCCCGACAAAATGTTTGACTTGATAAAGTCCATGAAAAATTCAATAATGTAAAGTTACTTCAGATACTACTTTATGTTACAAGTGAAATGACTTTTCGCCACACGGCTTAATCTACCTCAACTGTAGTCAAGTGGATAATATGAAATCACCGTGCAAAAAATTTTTTCCCCGTCAAAAGTCAAAAAGTTATTGCTTTCATCTATCTTGTTTTATTGACAATTTCAAAGATAAATTTTAAGTCGACTGGAATATTCAGAAGTGTAATGTTTAAATCCACATGTCATTTTCTAAGTGTCCACTACTACTTCATCGATCGTATATCTTATGGAAAGATTTTTTCCCGTGGTTTTGATTAATTGGAATTCAATTTTCAGAAATAAAACCTACATAGTAAAAATTGATGAGAATTTGTATAAAGCTAGAAAAAGGAATTGATACGAATATTAGATTCTGTGTAAACTTTGCTAGGATCAAATGTGAATTTGCATGGCCAACACTTAGTCTTATTAATTTTTTTTTTTTATTGTCTGTATTCATAAAATATCTTTGCTGACAAAAATAAAAAATTTAATTTGATACTTTCCTCAGACCGGGTTTAAATGCACAAACATGCAACTTCTATAAACCCAAGCTCAGAAAATTAAAATATTTCACAGCAAATAATAACAATATAAAAGTCTGTGAAAAAACAATACAAAACAACAACAATAAAATTGACAGAGATCTGACCGAACAAAACAACAACAATAAAATTGACAGAGATCTGACCGAACAAAACAACAACAATAAAATTGACAGAGATCTGACCGAACAAAACAACAACAATGAAATTGACAGAGATCTGACCGAACAAAACAACAACAATAAAATTGACAGAGATCTGACCGAACAAAACAACAACAATAAAATTGACAGAGATCTGACCGAACAAAACAACAACAATGAAATTGACAGAGATCTGACCGAACAAAACAACAACAATAAAATTGACAGAGATCTGACCGAACAAAACAACAACAATGAAATTGACAGAGATCTGACCAAACAAAACAACAACAATGAAATTGACAGAGATCTGACCGAACAGAACAACAACAATAAAATTGACAGAGATCTGACCGAACAAAACAACAACAATAAAATTGACAGAGATCTGACCGAACAGAACAACAACAATAAAATTGACAGAGATCTGACCGAACAGAACAACAACAATAAAATCAACAGAGATCTGACCCTGACCAAACAAAACAACAACAATAAAATTGACAGAGATCTGACCGAACAAAACAACAACAATGAAATTGACAGAGATCTGACCGAACAGAACAACAACAATAAAATTGACAGAGATCTGACCGAACAAAACAACAACAATAAAATTGACAGAGATCTGACCGAACAAAACAACAACAATGAAATTGACAGAGATCTGACCGAACAAAACAACAACAATGAAATTGACAGAGATCTGACCGAACAGAACAACAACAATAAAATTGACAGAGATCTGACCGAACTTCTGCATAATACAACTAGAATAATCTAAAAATTCAAGGAGTCAACAAGGAATTTTGAAATAGATTTTACATCTTATTGAATTAGAAGTGAATATTATATTACTTAAATAAAGTATTTATCTATTTTCCCTTATAATTTACTTTTTAATTTATGAAACAAATTCATAATTTCAAGTTGAGTATACTTTGTTCATTTTAATTTATCAATTATTAATTCACTTAGGTAATTTCCAAAGGATTTTACCAAAATTCAATTTTTACTTGATTTAAGTGAGGATAAATTGATGATTCAATTAATAAAACATATTGTGTTAACAATTAGGAAAATATTTTTAAATTTTCCCTAAAAATGATGAATGGTTTTGTCCAAATTCAAACATGGACAAGTACATTAAAATTTTAATATATTTAACATGGGAGGGGGCAAGCCAATATCAGCTTTAAATAGCACTCAGAGATAATGAGCAATTATGATTAATTTTACATTATGAAACCTTGTCTTGGTGGTAAAATCATTTTGTAAAACAACTTCGTTGCATCAAATTTTTTTTTTTCACATTGCTAATATTTCTTTTCCTTTATTATTTCTTTCTACAATACTCAAATAATCAAAAAAGAAAAAACAAATTTATTCACATGCAATTATGATGGTTATTTTATTGAAATTTTTTTTATTATAATCGCAGCAAGAATACATGAAGTTTTTATTTATGGCACATTTTTCCCTCCCAAGATTCACAACAATGTAAAAAATTCTTTCTATTGAATTGTATTCATATTTTCGGTAAAAAAAAAAAAAAAAAAAAAAAAAATGATTTCCTATTAACAGTAACATAAGTCATGGGTGGTACAATTTGTTACTTAAGTTTCATCATTTTGCAACCTGTGGTGCGCTCGGTGTCCTGGAACGGAATGCGCAATTATCAACAATCCACTCTGCAGCAGACGGCAAACTATTTGTAATGTTACACAACACACATTTTTTTTTTCAAAATCACCTAAGATAAAAAACTACTACCATGGTATGTTGCTATAACAATTTAACATTTAATTTGTTGTTTATGAAAACTTGTATAATAAATAACTTGTTGTGCTTTGTATTTGGATTTATCAATTTAATTAATCGACCAATTTCAATATTTTTTCATTGCCGACAGTTTTGAGTCAAGCTGGACAAACCATACAGATATATATATGCATGCAGTCAAGCAACTCCATATGAATTATTAAATACGGCATTTTAGGAAAAACTACTGTTTTGTACAGATAACAGATAAAAAAAAAAACCACAACAGCTTGTCAAAGGGAAGTAACTCTTTATAGATGATGACTTGATATATTTTGTCACATCGATACTTTAATAAGTCATATTAATGCCGACTTTACAGGTTTGTCAGACAGGTGGAAAAAGAACTTTGATGCGCCTCTGCAGCAACATACCCAATAATTCATTTCAGCACAATTAAAATTTTGGCATGAGAGTTTTATATATTATCAACCCTTTCAACTTTTGGTCCGCCCTCCTCTGTAGTACTGTGGCTTAGATAGCTTCCGTAAAAATTTAAATTTTAACATAATAAAGATCTGTTACTTCACTGACTGGTTGTTTGGGTCAAAACAATTTTACAACTGGTAATTTCTACCAGTACGCTTGGTTGTCAACAACATACTTGTATAAACAATAGAGCATTTGTGTAGTCAGGGCCCAATACTGATAGTCACTGTGCAATTTGTTTACATTTCTGCCATGAAGATATGAGTTATGTAACATCCTATAATTTTCATAAAGACTTTATGTACACAATCTACTCCAGTTAAGTGAATTAGGTGACAAGGGGGTACTCTTTGAAAATCAACTTTACAAAAACTAGATTGTAGGATATCAAAAGAAGCAATGCAAACAAAATTTCAGAGCTCCTGTTTATCTTAACTGTTTTTTTTTCTTTCTTCACACATATTGTGCAATTTTATTTGATATAGTTTTTTTATATAAGGTGAAATCTTGATGATTACTTTAATTCAAAACCGAAATGTCAACATAGTTGCCGATGAAGCCTATTAGAGCAGCATGTCTCCGAAAGCTAATTGAGGTCAATATTTTACATTATTACATGTCAACATCTCATGCAGTTTTTTTTTAAAGAGGTAATTTATTTAAAGAGTATAAAAGCTATATACAAAATGTATCTAATGAAATATTTTTAAAAAAAATGAAGAAAAACCGAAACTCTAAAGAACATCAAAAAACCAGCAAAATTACAGTAAGATTGAGCCTATTCATGGGTGGTATAACAGGAATTGCAAGCTATATAAATCTTCATAAATGGTAAAACTAAATTGTTTTTGTAATTTTGTAGTCTATTATCATAAGAATTGACCATCCTGGCATGGAAAAACAATTCCCTAATGTCTCTTCTTTTTTTTTTTATATTGACATATTGAATTTAATTTATAATATAGCTCTTGAAATAAATAAAACTTTGAAATTTGTTTATTGTTACCAACTCATAATTATTAAATTTTATCACTTTTTAATTTTAATGTCAATGTTAACATCTTTTAACGTCATTTAATTGAAAAATAATTTAATGATGTAAAGGGTCGTTTTTCTCATGCCAGCGTTTATTACGTTATTTTAAATTATTACACTCATAATATGTACCTTTGTGTAATCATGGTCAGCACTGTATTTTGAAATATTTCCTTGAAAAAGAAAGGTTTTGTGTAGATTGAAAGATGGACAAGTCCATTTAATTTATTAAACAGGTCATGATTAGTTTGCTTTTGTTTCGAACCCTTAGTAATGACATGTAAGTGATTTCATGTCATCAAACTTTAAAGTTGCATTCCTCTAGATAAGCCAATATATTTCAAGATAATCAACCTTGAGAAAAATGTACTCAGATTTTAAGAAAAGTTAAAAAAATTCACAAATGAAGAAATAATTTACATGTTATTTTTGCAATTAATAACTGATTTTGCAGTTATCACCATATTTCTACTGTATAAGTCACGCAGTAAGGATACTTTTTGCATATTTTGACCTATTTTTGGTAATTTTCGTAGATTTTATGTGTTGTTTGCAACATGTAAATTTCTTTTCTTGTTTTTTTTTTTTTTTTTTTTTTTTTTTTTTTTTTACAAGGGAGACAACCACTATACAACTTTATTTATTTACATTCCTTCATGGTCTCCCTTGTTTTCTAGTTTATGATCTATTTAATCAAGTGCATATAGCCCATAAACTGAATCATAATTAAGATCACATTTAAAATGATTTCATATGGAATAAAATATGAATTTCCTTCATACAGAATTGTAATTGGACTTTAGATGGAGAGTTTCACAAGAGCATGCAAACATTCCCTTTTAAATCTAAATCATTCTTTACTAGATATAGTAATTACTACTATACTGTTCTCCTATCACAAAGTTGAATCCAGTAACTATCTTCTTCTATTCTTACAAAATTGAGATCTTATATTGACAGCAAACACATTTTCAGAAAATCAGCTGAATAACCAAGGATGCACACCGACTTTAGCTGTTAAAGCTAAGACTTGGCAGTCTACAAACACTTTTGCACGCCCTGAAACAATAATTTGAATTGATACACATAAAATAAATAAAATTCATCAGGAATAACTGCAGGACATGACATATTAATTAACAAGAGGGCCATGATGGCCCTGAGGTCGCTCACCTGTATATAGGCCCCCCCAACCCCCACCCCCCCAACGTTGCAGGGCCAATTTAACCCAAGGGCTTTTATTTGCACAAACTCGGTAGACACCCATAAGAAGATGTTTCATGCTAAACATCTAAGCTCTAGCTCATTGGGCTTTTTCAAAGAAGATTTTTTTTAAGTTTTTACTATACACATATAGTTAAAAACAATGACACCCCTGGGGCCGGACCAGTTTTGACCCCAGGGCTTTTATTTGAACAAACTTTGTAGACACTTACTAGAAGATGTTTCATGCTTAATATCTTAACTCTAGCTATTTGGGTTTTTTCAAAGAAGATTTTTTAAGTTTTTGCTATACAAATATAAGGAAAATCAATGACCCCCCCTGGGGCGGTGCCAATTTTGACCCCAGGGCTTTTATTTGAACAAACTTGGTAGACACCTATTAGAACATATTTGATGCTAAATATCTTAGCCATAGCTCTTTGAGTTCTTTAAAAGAAGATTTTTTAAGTTTTTACTATATGCATATAGGGAAAATCAATGATCCCCCGGGGCGGGGCCAATTTTGACCCAAGGGCTTTTATTTGAACAAACTTGGTAGACACTTATTAGTACATGTTTCATGCTAAATATCTTAGCTTTAACTCTTTTGGTTCTTTAAAAGAAGATTTTTTAAGTTTTTAATATATGCATATAGGAAAAATCAATGATCCCCTGGGGTGGGGCCAATTTTGACCCCAGAGCTTTTATTTGAACAAACTTGGTAGACACCTATTAGAACATGTTTGATGCTCAATATCTTAGCCATAGCTCTTTGAGTTCTTTAAAAGAAGATTTTTTAAGTTTTTACTATATGCATATAGGGAAAATCAATGACCCCCCGGAGCGGGGCCAATTTTGACCCCAGGGCTTTTATTTGAACAAACTTGGTAGACACCCATTAGAAGATGTTTCATGCTTAATATCTTAGCTCTAGCTCTTTTGGTTCTTTAAAAGAAGATTTCTTAAGTTTTTACTATATGCATATAGGGAAAATCAATGACCCCCCGGGGCGGGGCCAATTTTGACCCCAGGGCTTTTATTTGAACAAACTTGGTAGACACCCATTAGAACATGTTTCATGCTAAATATCTTAGCTGTAGCTCTTTTGGTTCTTTAAAAGAAGATTTTTTAAGTTTTTACTATATGTATATAGGGAAAATCAATGACCCCCCGGGGCGGGGCCAATTTTGACCCCAGGGCTTTTATTTGAACAAACTTGGTAGACACTCACTAGAAGATGTTTCATGCCAAATATCTAAGCTCTAGCTCTTATGGTTTTTTAAAAGAAGATTTTTT